CTTTTAAAAAGAAAAAGAAGGAAAGCAAGTCATTAATCATGTTTTCATAGGCTCCAAAAGCTTGATAACCTCTTCTTTCTTATAGAGAGTAGATTTGGTAGGAAAAACATCTAAATGTATTTTCATAAAGCAGCACTCTATCAAAGGTAGTGGTGAAAAGAAGTATATAGAAAGAAAAAAATGGCAGATAAATAAATAAAGGAATTCATTCCATCACTAGACCTGCAGGCAAGAATCCGATCAACAGTGGTCCACTCAGGACGAATGGGAACAAAATCATCTTCGCTGTTATTGGCTGATTCTGCTTGACGGTGAAAGTTGTTCACCCTGGTTTTTAAACGATGATTTGACTTATAAGCCTTCTGGAATTCCTTCTCAGGCACCCTATGATTGGTCAACGAAATCAAATCATGTGATATAATGTTCACGGACAAGAAACATTGATGATCAGCATGTTCAAATTTAGATATAAAAAGAAAATGCAGTATCTACCAAGAACAGTGTAGGTATGATAATCCCTTCCACTTCACAAGATACTGTTTAACATGAATAGGCTTTGGTGGCGCTTCGGAGGAACCTTGTTCACTAGCTTTTGTAGGACGTGATTCACAGTCCAATATCTTATCTATCTCATTTAGAGGACTAACCTGAAAATGTAAAAAAAATATCTACCATGTAAATAAATGGAAGCTATAGAATCCCAAACACAATTATGGGTTGTTACAAGAATCTTACGCATTCAGGGCATCTCCAATTTTCCACAGACGCATCTTTAAGAGGTGGAACTAGACACTTAGCATGGAAAGCATATGTACATGTATTGCAGCTAACAAGATTTGCGCTTTCCCCACAAGCCTGACATGCATTTTCTTTCTGCAAATTCAAGTAACAAAAAAGGAAAGGATTAAAACCGAAAGAATCAAACGGTAGTGAAATCTAAACAACAAGCTCAAGATAAGACACAAACCGCATCAGTTCTGACAATAGCCTCAACTTGCTCAAGGGTCCGATCCTTTTTAGGAACAAAGTCGTCATCATCAGACTCATCCAGATTATAAACCGGTTTCCTGTCTGATCGTATACGAAGCCTCTCCACCAAACTACTCATTTTCCTGCACACAAAACATGTCTCCCATCAATAACCTCAAACGTACATATACAGCAATAGGTTCAGTGCTAAAGCAAACTATGAAATTAGAGTTTCTACTGGATGCAGTAGTTAAACACAGCTACCCAAAATTTGGATTAACAATCTAAGAATGGTTCGTACAATAGTTACTAAACAACTCGATTCATCGACAAACCCGCACAAGCAAGATCGAAGAAGCTTGTGAAAAACCCAATCAAACCCTAACCAAAATTACCGAAGCAAAAACAAAAACTAAACAACGAAAACACAATTGAGTATTCAAATGTGAGTACCCAGAACTCGAATTAACAACCCATTGTTGCAATTCATGGAAAGATCAAAAATTTTCCAAAAAAAAAAACCCAGACCCGCCATTTTCAAAACTCTCAACTTTATATAAAGAAATTGGAAAGAAACAGTAACTTGATTTGACGAAAAATTGAGAAGTCGAAAGCAATTTACTTTGTTGAAGACTGAGTGTAAAAGTGAAAGAGTGTGGAAGAGACGAAGGAGAAGAAGACGAACCTTTGAATTGTTTGGGATCTGTTTGAAGGAGAGAAAGTAAGAGTCTCCCAAAACCTGAATAATCAGACACGATTGATTCTTACACTTATTTGTTTTATTTACGTCTTTACGATTTAACTTAGGGTTAAAATATAAATTTAATACACTTATTTGATAGGTGTTCAAAAAAAATAAAAAAAAAATACACTTATTTGACATTTTTATATATTTCCAACAATATTTTTTTAATAAAATTTGGTTCTCAAATTAGTAACTGATTTTGACAAATGTGTAGTATTAAGTTTTGAATTTAAAAATAAAAATACTAAAAATTTAATCATAAAAATTTAAAATTTAGATAATTTTACAGATATAAAATAGAATTTAATATGTATATAAAGAGATATTGCTAATTTTAATTTTAAGTTACTAATTTTACAAAAATAGTATTTCTAATCATTTCTAGTTGAGATTCAAAAACTTATCAATATTTTTTTTTATTGAGGAAAATTCGAAATTAAGAATGAAATACGATCATACATGATTATGCTTATCCCTTATCAAATCAGTTATGAATCAGTTGGGCATGGGCAAAATACCATAACTCGGTGGATCGAAAGGACAATCGTTCCACAAAAAACTCTCTCTTCTCTCTCTTCAAAAGTTTTCTTCTTTTTCCAGATCTCTTCTAAAACGCCTTTGAGTTTCTCTCGATTTGCTGTGGGGATGAAGAGGTGAATTAGTGTTCCTCCCTCTGTCGACAAGGGCGTGGTTCCTCCTCCTTTGATGTGATTGTGAAGCAAGGATGACAGAAGGAGAGCGTTGCTGCAGATCTGGTCGGTTTGAAGACGCCGGTTAGGAGCAGTGGTCGCTCTCGTGGCTCATATGTCAGATCGGCTTAGCACTCACGGCGGAAGTCGGCGGAGGAGATGGTGGGTTGTTGAAGCGCTTTGGCGGTTAACGGTAGATCCGTCTGAATCTTGAAGGCCGTCACGGATTTCGGGCGTTTGGGTCTCCGATTGAGTCATCGGTCCTTCTCGTCACCGTGACTTGCTTCGGCCAGGCCGGAGTGGAGAGATCTGATTCGGCAAACTGGAAGAAACCCAGATCTGGGAAAAAGAGGTTATGTCTGAAGCTGGAGCTTGCTAGGAACGGGAGCTACCATCAACGTGCCGAGACGTCGGAAAGTTGTTCATACCGGGAGACTTGTGGCGGGCTGGTTGGTCGAGGGAAAAGGAACGGTGGTCGTGAGTCGGATGCTTCCTCCCCGTTCACTAGATACTTCAATTTGCTGCAAAGTTGTGGTTCTCGCATCCGCCGGAAATGATGATCGGACCTTCTGCAACTCGGTGTCAATAGGACACGATTCTTTTTTCCGGTGAAGGTTACTATTCCAGTGGGCCTAAAGCCTCTGTTCCCCTTGTATTATCGTGCATCAGCCCATTAAGGGGCCCAATAATAAAAGAAGGCCCGTTTGATTAAAAAAAAAAAAAAAAAAAAATACCATAACTCGAATACCCGAACCAAACCCGACCTGAAATACCGAATCCGTTTTACTTCGGTTCTTAAGAAATACCCAATCGGTTTTTGTTCTTAATACCCAATAGGTATTGGGTATTACCCAAACCAAACCCGCATACTTGTGGATACTTTTAAATACCCGAGCACATTTACATATATATGTTAGGTTTCCTTAATGATCCATGAATAATCTCTGTTAAATGCTGCCATCTTAGGATAATTCTTCTTTCTTAGTTTCTTTCATGTCTCAAACATTATCACAATCAGTTTTATTAGTTTAAAGCTTTAAGTTATGCTTTTGTTGGTTTGGAATTTTATTGCTTACAATGCTTGGAATGATATTGTTGGTTTAGACTTTTAAGTTATGACTTGTTTAATGCTTGGAATGTTCAAAACTTATGTTTCTTGGTAATATTTTCTTTAGAAAACTTCTTAATTTTGACAACTATTTTCGGATTTTATGGGTACTTTAGGTAGGTCCGGGTTGGTTTAGGTAGATACTACTACTCATACCCAAATATTTTTTGGGTATTTATCGGATTTCATAAATCAATACCCAAAATACATGAACCTGAAAAAGAACTGAACCGAACCCGACCCGAAAAGTTATAAATACTTATTAGGTTCTTATATGACTAACTCTGAAATACCCGAAATCGAAAGACCCGACCTGAAACCGATCCGAATACCCAAATACTCAGGCCTAATGAATCTTAATGAAAGTCCTAGAGGGATCATCAGTTACTAATATTGTTTGATAAAACATATCAAACAACACTAAATAAATTAGATCTTCGTTGGATGATTGATTGATGCGTGGAATTTAGGAATGGTGGTTATACATGTTTACGAACTTTGTCGCCCAACAATTTTGCAATGCTCCCGAAAATTTTAGAAATTCTTTTGAATCACTCCTAAAGATGATTTAAATATTATGAATATTACAACACACATAAGATTATATGAAAGAGTGTTTTTTTCTAACAATAGAATGCAAAGAGTGTTTGTAATTTAGTTGTTTTGAGTTGCTAAGTATTTAAATGCAAACTAGACAAACAATAGAAAAATGCAGTCTCACAGACGACGCCCTAAAAACAAATACTACAGCCGAATTTTGATGCATTAAACACTTTGATGCTCATTATCCGGTGTATTGTCACCTTTTGCGTCTACAACCAAACTTTTAATTGTTAAATCGGCATTAGTTGCCATTTCAATCTCATCTATAGGATCACTATTTATGTTCTATAGTTCCCAAGTACTCATTTGGTGTCTGATTCAAGGACTCATCGTCTCATCCACATCCCTCACTTAAGTGGATGGAATCTAGTGTTTGCTCCTATTCATGTTTTGTATGTTATCCATTTAGCTCTCTTAGCGGCGGTAATTCTAGCTATTTTGGTATTGTAAAACATAGCCCTGGGCAGAAAACCCGGTACCGAAGAACCGCATCGGTTGGCACCCGGTTAAGGCGGTATCGGTTCGGGTACGATTCCAACGGAATTACCGAATGGGTTTTGATGGCAAGGTAAAATGGACTTCGGTCCGGTTCGGGTTTTACCTTAAGTTAATATGGACCACTGATTATACTCGATACTCTAAGCAAACAAATATATGCCATTTAGGGTTATGATACCCTAACACCAAGAGTTCTTTACTTTGACATACCAAAATGATGTTTTTTCATTGTTCTCATTTTTTCATCTGCTACTTGAGTTAACATTGACACGTGTCACGATGTTGTTAATGGCTAACTTTGAAAACCAATGTTTATATAATAAGATATTAAAAACTAATTTAAGCAAAAGCAATTGAGATCACTCCCTTCACAATGAAGAGCATCTGAGAATTTGACACACACATAAATTTCTATTTTCTTCTACAAACTTCTTTTGCCTCTTCTCCAAGCTTCTTCTCTCATAGTCTCATGTATATACAAACCACCGTTGCTGCTTCATCTCCACTTCCAAAACCCTAAACCCAAAAAAACTCATCAATTTCTCCGATTGACCTCTCATGGCGTCGAGAAGACTGTCCAAATCTATTACGTCAGCCATCAAGGCTCAATACACTTACTCGAGACCTTCTCTTCTCCTCCGTTCTCGCTCCCTCTCTGCCTCTGCTCACAATATCTCTCCTAATTCCTCTATTTTCCGGCCAACTTCGTTCATCGGAGACGGACTCGCCGGTAAATACAACTCGTCTGTAACTTCCGCCGCTGCGAACGGCCAATTCTTGCCTCTTTCTTTCCAATTCCCTTCTCCGCGTAGCTTCTCCACCAGTACAGCTCAGGTTCGTGATTGATTACATGGCGATTTCAGTTTATTTCAGTGTTCATGGCTCAATTTTGATCTTTGTACAATAACTGCATCTTTAGTTTTACAATCTTAAAAGCTTAAAAGCAAATACCGAAAAATTCTGAGATTGAAAACGAAAGCAGAGAACTTACTGGGAGCTTAAATTTCATGAATCTTAGAAACTAACTACCATTACATTGGTTTGTTAGCATCAAGAACTGGTTAAGTACCATCATGTCGATAACTTCTTCCGTTTCTTTCTCGCTGATGTATCAGTTTTGATCTTAGAAGTGTTCAATTTTGTTGATTTGGTGTTTTAGTTCTTTATCTGTAGCCTACTCAAAATGAGTTTACGGAGATGGCATGGAAAGGGATCCTCGATGCAGTTGATGCAGCTCGTGTTTCGAGTCAACAGATTGTGGAATCTGAGCATTTGATGAAAGCTCTTCTTGAGCAAAAAGATGGTATGGCTAGGAGGGTATTTGCCAAAGCGGGAATCGACAACTCCTCTCTTCTTCAGGCTACAGATTCCTTCATATCTAAACAACCAAAGGTGTTGCGTTGTTGCAGCTACTTTTTCTTTCTATGTGCATTTGAAAATGATTTTTCTTTAGGAATTAACTTAGCTTTCTTGTGATTTTGCAGGTTACAGGTGATACGAGTGGTCAGATGCTAGGTTCATCTATTAGTGCTATATTAGATAGCGCAAAGAGGCATAAGAAAGAGATGTTAGATAGTTATGTATCGGTCGAACACCTTCTGTTGGCCTATTATTCAGATGTAAGGTTTGGACAAGAACTTTTCAAGGACGTTAAACTTGATAAGGAAGCCCTAAAGGATGCTATTAAAGCTGTCCGCGGTAGTCAACGAGTAACTGATCAAAGTAAGTTTTATGTTTTTTGCGCCTCAGATGTAGTAAGTACACATTGTGGATGCTGTATATCCTGTGGGAAATTTAAACATATGCTACTTGTGGGAACGTTGCTTGTGATATCAAAGACTTGACTGAAACAGATAGATATTTTTCTTCTGTTCTGCTTTGTATATTGTGAGGATTGATAGCATCGATATCTCATTACATATTCTGTTACCCTACATTCTCTTATGTTTGTCTTAATGACTTCCACCTACTCTCATTGCGTGATGTTACACATGCAGATCCTGAAGGAAAATATGAAGCACTTGAAAAGTATGGAAATGATTTAACTGAGATGGCTAGACGAGGGAAACTCGATCCTGTCATTGGGCGGGATGATGAAATTCGGCGTTGCATTCAGATTTTATGTAGGAGAACAAAAAACAATCCTGTTATTATTGGTGAACCTGGTGTAGGGAAAACTGCTATTGCAGAAGGGTAAGACTTTCAATTATATCCCTTGTTTTCATTTTCTTTTGTAAAGTCTCTTGAAATTTTTGTGATTTCATTCTCGGTAGCTGTCGTTAGACAAATTTGCTGAAATTTTAACTTTCACAGGTTAGCCCAACGGATTGTGCGAGGAGATGTCCCTGAACCTCTCATGAATCGAAAGGTTCATTCCAGTAAATTGAAATTGCTTCGGCTTTCTTCTTTTTAGCTTTTTTTTTTTTGGTTTTTTTTGGCCTTAGTCTGTTTGATGGTATATTGTATTCTCCTAGAAAGGCTAGCGGGAGATTTTAACATGTTTGGCTTGGTTTCTTTTTCATGTAGTTGGTATCTCTCGACATGGGTTCACTCCTTGCTGGTGCCAAATATCGAGGAGATTTTGAGGAAAGGTTGAAAGCAATATTAAAGGAAGTAACAGCTTCCAATGGACAGATAATCTTGTTCATTGATGAGATCCACACTGTTGTTGGTACAGGTGATTTTTTTATTTTATCCACATATTATAAACATTGATGATTTGTTATTATTACACATACATGTGTTCATAAATATTTGTGTTGCCCAAGTAAATTGTTGGGTGGATCTCTATTTAAGGTCTTTATTTCCTGTTAGAAGAACATGGCATCGCCAACTGAGGGTTAAAATGGAGATGAAAATTTGTGGTTAAGATCTGCTAATATTACATTTTTTACTCTTGTTTGTTTGACTCACTTTAGTACTTTGTTACTAGTAACATGAAGATAACGAACTGGCTAATATCATTGCTGCTCTTGCTTAGGAGCTATGGGAGGAGCAATGGATGCGAGCAACCTCTTGAAACCAATGCTTGGACGAGGTGAACTGAGATGCATCGGTGCAACTACATTGACCGAATACCGCAAATACATAGAGAAAGATCCAGCTCTCGAGCGTAGGTTTCAACAAGTGTTATGTGGTCAGCCCTCTGTTGAAGATACAATCTCGATTCTTCGTGGGTTAAGAGAGCGATATGAATTACACCATGGCGTTACTATATCAGATGGTTCCCTTGTTTCAGCAGCAGTTCTAGCAGACCGCTACATCACTGAACGCTTTCTGCCAGACAAAGGTATGGACATGCACTTTCTTTGATTCCTTACCAGTTTTTATTGGGAAAACCGTAGCAGTGTTTTCTAAGATGAATGCTCTTTATTTCAGCTATTGATCTTGTTGACGAAGCTGCTGCAAAGCTAAAGATGGAGATCACTTCTAAACCCACTGAACTTGATGAAATAGACAGAGCTGTGATCAAACTGGAGATGCAGAAGCTGTCTTTGAAAAATGATACTGATAAAGCTTCTAAAGAACGGCTACAGAAGATTGAGTGCGATCTGTCCACACTCAAAGATAAACAGAAAGAACTCAGTGACCAATGGGAGAAAGAGAAGTCGCTCATGACTAAAATACGTTCATTTAAAGAAGAGGTAAAACACTTATTCCTTACAGTGGTCTTTTAAGTATTGTTTGATCTTAAAAACCTAGGAATATAATGTCTTATAAAAAAATATCATACCGGACACTCACAGTTTCTTGTTCTGTATAGTACGTTTAGTGGTTGTTTATGCTGTTGGTATATAGGGATCCTAATGTCCTCCGTAACGTGTTCTGTGTATTTCAGATTGATAGAGTTAACCTGGAAATTGAATCTTCTGAACGTGAATATGATCTAAATCGAGCTGCTGAGCTTAAGTATGGAACACTTATGTCCCTCCAACGCCAGTTAGAAGAAGCTGAGAAGAATCTAACGAGTTTCCGACAGTCTGGACAGTCTCTACTCCGAGAAGAGGTTACTGATTTTGACATAGCAGAGATAGTAAGCAAGTGGACCGGTATTCCGTTATCTAATCTTCAACAATCAGAGAGAGAAAAGCTGGTTATGTTGGAACAAGTGCTCCACAACAGAGTTATTGGTCAAGACATTGCTGTAAAATCAGTAGCCGATGCTGTACGACGTTCAAGGGCTGGTCTTTCTGATCCTAACCGCCCAATAGCCAGTTTCATGTTCATGGGTCCAACAGGTGTTGGTAAAACTGAGCTTGCCAAAGCTCTAGCTGGATACCTTTTCAATACTGAGAATGCAATAGTGAGGATCGATATGAGTGAGTATATGGAAAAATTCTCAGTCTCACGGCTCATTGGTGCACCACCTGGCTATGTTGGTTATGAAGAAGGTGGGCAGTTAACTGAAGCTGTTCGGAGGAGACCTTACTCAGTTGTTCTGTTTGATGAGATTGAGAAAGCTCACCATGATGTCTTCAATATCTTGCTACAGCTGTTAGACGATGGAAGAATAACTGATTCTCAAGGGAGGAGAGTAAGTTTCACAAATTGTGTCATAATTATGACATCGAATATAGGATCTCACCACATACTTGAGACCCTCCGCAACAAGGAAGACAGCAAAGAAGCAGTTTATGAGATAATGAAGCGACAAGTTGTGGAGTTAGCAAGACAAAATTTTAGGCCCGAGTTCATGAACAGGATTGACGAATATATAGTTTTCCAGCCACTGGATTCAAAAGAAATCTCCAAAATCGTAGAGTTGCAGGTAACAATCCCTATTACCACCACTTTGTTTTTCATATTTAGTTTTCGGAATCTATATTCTTCTATCCATTAACGAGTGTCATAGAGTGTGCCAACATTCTTAATTACCATGATTTAACAACATCCACTTCTCTTACTAGTTTATAGGCATCCACTTAGTTTATAGTCCCTTTCTCTATTTGTTCAGTTTTGTGTTTAGGAGTCTTTGTTTTGTGAAAAATATGTCCGAACTGAAACCAACTTTTCTTGATTGGTTGAAAAATCTCAGTTTGACTGTTGAATAAGGGTAAAAAAATGGAAGTAAAAATACAAACAAATAATCACTTTATACTTTGGTATTAGTAAGTGTATGCTAGTGTATTTGATAAAAAGCAATTAGCTTTTAATGACTTTCAGTTTACTTGGTTTGATTCGGTTGTACTAAGTTTGATTTTGGTTTCGGTAGGTTTGCTTGTGTTTGAGAAATTTTAGTTAGGCTGAAGTGCTCTAGTCCAACCAATTTGTTTTGTTTTTTTTCTTTTTCTATAGACATTAGCTATACACATGTGACATATTTTACAACATTTGCGTAACGTGCAGATGAGACGGGTTAAGAATAGGTTGGAACAGAAGAAAATCAATCTTCAGTATACGCAAGAGGCCGTGGATCTCCTAGCTCAGCTTGGATTCGACCCCAACTATGGCGCGAGGCCTGTGAAGAGAGTGATTCAACAGATGGTAGAGAACGAAATCGCTGTCGGAGTTCTAAAAGGAGATTTCGCGGAAGAAGACACAGTTCTTGTCGACGTTGACCACCTCATGGCTAGTGACAACAAATTGGTTATCAAGAAGGTCGAGAGTAGTAATGCTTCTTCCACTGAAGAAATGGCTGCTTAGCTTTGTACAAAACAAAATTAGTCTTTCGGTAGATTCGTACATTAGTATCTTCTAACAGGTGTGGATTGTTATGTTACTTTTTAGTATCTTCTGCCGACAAAAGTAAATGGGAACGACACCGACATTAGCATTTGGAAAGTATTAAAACTTGGAACGGTGAATGTGTTAAAGATCATTTATGGATGGGTTTAATATAGGAACGTACGTACCAATGTGGTGGTACCATTACAGAGTTTTGTTCCCGATCTGATTTTCAAAATAAGGAGATGATGAAGCTTTGCAAATCTTTACCAAATCAAATTGAACAAACGTTGTGATTTAGAATTTAGAATATATAAAAAAGTTTAACCACGTTCTCTTGTCACCAAGAATTGAATTGGATCCTTCTTCTTTAATAGCTTCCGACATACTAGTATTTGTTTAACTATATAGTTTTTTCTTATTAATTCTTTTGTCTAATGCTTAGTCGAGTTAATATTCTCATTAGTGACACATTAGTATATGTAATAGTTAGTGACTTTGAAATGTCAGTCATGTCTTGTAATGAGGGAAAACAACCTGGTTCATCTAGTTTAAATAAATAGAATTTTAGTGGTTCTTTTATTTCTCTTAAAATTGTGAAATGAGACAACAATTTAGAAGATGTGAGAGTATTAGTGTGCACAAATAAAACCCTCGTTTATTCGATATTTGTCAACAAAACTAAATATATAATATGAAAAGAGAAAAAGTATATATCATTATTATCTCCTTCTCGAAAGAAATTAGATAGAAAATTTTTCAATATTATTCCAGTTAAATACCCTAATGCGTTGATTTCAACACTTACTATCAAAAATTCTATTACATGTAGATACCTCATGAACAACAACAACAAGATTTCAGTGTTAACATATGACAACATGGTACATGACACTCAAAATTCAAAAATCATATTTCCGCATTCTACACTAGTATTATGTATTTTAGGAGTTACCAACTCATTTTTCTTTCAAATTTTATATTGACTTTTTTAGTCATGTGAAATTTTTTCTTAAATTTATCTTGTGATTATTCAATGCTCAATCTTTAATATTTACAAATATTCTTAAGAATCGTGGACTTATTTTGCACAGAAATCGTGGAAGTTTGGAAGTATGATTCCAAAAAACATATATCTGAAGACTATGATATATGCACATTTCATAGATAATTGATATATGCACATTTCGACTATGTTAGTTATGAAAATTGAGAAATAAACTGAAGACGTTTGCACGAGATTGTTCAGAATATATATTTTGAGATTGAGAACGTTCACCACAATGTCTTTTAATTTTATTAAAAATAGTCAAGAAGTTACATAAAATCCTCAACGTCCTCTATTAAATACCCTTTACTAAAATATGAACAGTTAATAAAAATTTATAAGGTTTAAAATGTATTTTAAATGATAAATAATACTTGACAACTAGATTCAAGTGTTTGTAAAGTTTTATAAGGTTTTATAATATTTTTATAAAAATTTAGAAGGTAATTTAAGGTATTTTATAAGTTTACAAACACTCGAACCCATTATACTATAAATCATTTAGCGGTCAACATACGACAATGACAATGTGTCATATAATATTAGATAAAAAATTAATCAAAACTAAAACAAAAATAAAACACATTAAAGCAACAAAATGTGTAGATTTTGTATTAGAAGTTACATGTCTCTTTAATTGGTTTTATAAAAGAAGGTCTAGGGTTTATATTTTACAATTAAACAAAATTATAAGTCGGTTTAGGTTTATAAAGGAGGATTAGGGTTTAAATTTTAAAAGAAACAAAATTATATTTTGGTTTGGATCTATAAAAGAGTGGTTAAGGTTTAGAATTTTCAAATAAACAAAATTATATTTTGGTTTGGGTTTATAAAATAGTGGTTTGGATATAGATTTTATAATAAAAGAAAAAATATATTTTAGTTTGGGTTTATAAAAAAATGGTTAGCGTTTTGATTTTACAATTAGGCAAAATTATATGTCGAGTTGGGTAAAATATAAACCCCAATCCCCTTTTATAATCAAAACCGACGTACTAATTCCTTAATTAAAAATATACAATTTTGTTTCCTTAATTTGTTTTACTCTTCCAAGTTTAATTTTGATTAATTTTTTAAACATAGTATGATATAATATATTGTTTATATTTTGATTGACTAGTTAAAAAGAGGTGAATACATATGAACCAAAGTATTGTCCCTAAAAGTTAACAATAAACTAAACATTAAATAGGTCAAAAAAAAAAAAAAATAGAGCACTATCTTTGTTTTCGTTTTTTTTTTTTTGGTTCAATTTCATCAAACGAAATTATTTCAGATTTGTATTATGGTGAAAACATCATATAAGTCAACTTTCTTGAATTTAGTTTAGTTCATTAAAATATTTTCCCAATATTTTTCACATATACTATGATTCATGCCGTTGTCATTTATCTTTCTAACATTACAAAATACAAAGATTAGTACACAAAATTAATTTGTACAACTGCTTAACACAAAACTGATCTCAAATACTAAAAAAAAAAAAAAATCACAAAATCTCTCTAAAATCTCTACTTCCTCTGTTTTCGCCTAAAACAAACAAATTAAAAAACAGAACAGTCTCTCTCTCTCTCTCTCTCTCTCTCTCTCTCTCTCTCTCTCTCTCTCTCTCTCTCTCTCTCTCTCTCTCTCTCTCTCTCTTTCTCTCAAGCTTTACAGTTCTGATCGGCGATAATGGCGAAGTGTCACCGTAACAATATCAATCCTCTCATACTCCACCGCATACCCTCCGCTTCTTCTTCTTCTTCTTCTTCCTCCACCACCGGATCATCTTTCCGTAGAATCATCTTCGACGCTCTTAGCTGCGGAGGTAGCTCTCGTTACCGACGTGAACTCCAAGAAGAAGATTACCAAGAAAGTTCAAAATCGACGACAAAGGTCGGAAACGATTTAACAAAGAAGTCAGAGAAGCTCTGTGATCTGTTGAACTTAGCTGTGATTGAGAGTGGTGTTAAGACTAAGAAAAAGGAAGAAACGTTGGAGGTTCTGAAACGTGTTGTTAAAGATTTACAAACGGTTGAGGCGGTTAAGGCGGTTGAGGCGGTTGAGGCGGAGAAGGAGAAGGAGAAGATGGCTGTTGCGGCGAGTGAGGTTAGGTTGTTAGCAAAAGATGATAAGGAAGTGAGAGTGACACTTGCAATGCTTGGTGCCATTCCTCCTTTGGTTAGTATGATTGATGATGATGAGCATATCGAAAACGCGCAAATCGCTTCACTTTACGCTCTTCTTAATCTTGGAATTGGCAATGATGCGTGAGTCTTTCTCATTTACATTACATTGCATTGCATGTTTCTTCTGCATTACTAAGTTTTTGTGATTCTTAGGTTTGATTCTTGAAACATTTCTCCGATTTTTTGATGTTTTTTTAGTTTACTGGTTGTGTATGATTTTGGTTGTTGTTGACTTGTTGTTGTTGTTTGGTTTGCTTCTTTTAGGTGAAAATTTATTAGTTTTGTTTTGAGATGTCACTCTCAATACTTTTTTTCGGGTTTGATCTGTTTTTGTTATATGTTTTTTTCTGAAGCTAGGACACTAGTAAACTAGAAGCATTAAATTCGATCATTTGTTTCAATGACATATGTGTTACATTCTCTGTTTTTTCAGGAACAAAGCAGCTATTGTTAAAGCGGGTGCGGTTCACAAAATGTTGAAGCTAATCGAGTCGTCATCAAAGCCTCCGAATCAAGCGATTTCCGAGGCTATTGTGGCTAATTTCCTAGGATTAAGCGCTTTGGATTCCAATAAACCGATCATCGGTTCCTCGGGTGCGATTGTTTTCCTAGTGAAAACGTTGAAAAACTTTGAGGAAACTAGTAGTTCAAGACAAGCTAGAGAAGACGCTCTTCGAGCACTTTACAACCTCTCAATACATCATCAAAACGTTCCATTTATCCTCGAAACCGATCTGATTCCTTTTCTTTTGAACACATTGGGAGATATGGAAGTTAGCGAGAGGATTCTCGCAATTTTAACCAATGTAGCATCAGTCCCCGAAGGAAGGAAAGCCATCACGGCTGTAGCTGAAGCGTTTTCCATATTGGTTGATGTATTGAACTGGAATGATTCAGTAAAATGTCAAGAGAAAGCGATATACATCCTCATGTTAATGGCTCACAAGGGGTATGGAGACCGAAGAGCGATGATCGAAGCGGGTATCGAATCTGCATTGCTTGAATTAACACTTATAGGAAGCCCCTTGGCGCAAAAGCGAGCCTCGAGGGTACTAGAGTGTTTAAGAGTTGTGGACAAAGGGAAGCAAGTCTCAGCTCCAATCTGTGGAGTATCTTCTTCTTCTTCTTCATTGAGTCGAGAGAGAGGTCATGAGATAAGGATGAGTGACGAGAGAAAAGCAGTGAAGCAGTTAGTGCAACAGAGTTTGCAATGCAACATGAAGAGGATTGTGAAGAGAGCTCATTTACCACATGACTTTGTTACTTCACAACATTTCTCAAAGAGTTTAACTTTCTAAATTCAAAGAGTGTAATCTTTGATTGAATCATCGTTATATCATTGACTCATTATCCAATAAAAGTTGTTACTAGGAAAATCAAATTACTAACACATATATTTGTATAATTTATATAGTGTTGTTTCTAAATTTTTAACATTCTTGAACTACATAAGAGTCATATAAATGGTAGTTTTAACTTTATAACCAAGGTTAGGTCAGTGACAAAACAGTGGCATTGAGTGTAATTGTGAGGAAGATGAGGAGTAAATTATACTGATTGAGATCTTCACATTGACCAAGTAAGTTTTTTTTTTCAAAATATTTTCGTAATGTTCATTTTAAGACCCCAAACTTAACGCAAGTTACAATATTGTCCATCAAAGATTATTATATAGTTTCTATGTACATTAAGCATGCATTGGTCCACTCGTGGATCGTGCTGAAAATATATATTATAAGACTTTCTGATACCATTGTTCGTTGCACACTCGTGGGATTTGCGAAGAAGAACCGACAACTCCATTTTCGTACGTTGTTTAACGTAAAAGACAAATCTTGGAAAACCCCAAAATGTTGATTCAAATGTAGTATTTTTGTTTCTTTTGGGTAATGATTTAAGGGTATTGTTATTAGACCATTTTTTTTAATATAAACCTTGTCGACTGATCGAATTAGTCTTGGTAGAAACACACCAAAATATTTTAGAGTGGATATTTCTCCGAAAGACCACCACACTGTATATCCCGAATTTGGAATGATATAATATTGCGATTCAGAGATATATATACAATTATGTAATTCGTATGTATAGTTTGAAGTGTTTCTTATTGTGTAAAAGTCAATAGTATCTTCTACGATCACATGCACAACTATTTTGTGTGTGTAAGGGATGGAGACAGTGTGTAGTAATATGGAATATATTGAAGGAGACGTGCATATTTATTAACATTATAATTTAAGTGTATACGACAAAGGGATCAACGACTAGAAAAATATATGGTGAGACATTTACCACGGATACGACTGTTCTTGAGTAGATGTGTATGGACATTATATGTATGTTTATGTTACTACGGATTCGACTGGTGACGAAAAGCTTTAGACTTTGCGATTCAAAATGTGTTGGCACTTAAATATAAGATGGTTCACTATTCTCATTTTTGGCTCCCAACCTTATTTTCCGAGACCATATAACTTTGGCTAGTGGCAACTATATGAAATGGTGGCTCAATTTATGAGCAAAAAGGATGTAATCATGTAGCACTAATGCACTAGATCCTATAAAAATTTGTAGTAAAATGTGTTATGGACGAAAATATTACTAAGATGGCTAACTTTCCGGAAAGTTCTCATGGTTGTATTTTTTTTTTTACATGATTTTTTTTATATATAAATCTGATCGCCTGATTCGGTCAGGTCTGGGAGAAATACACCAAAATACTACGAGAAAGATTCATTGTCTGCATTTCTTATTATCTGGTAAACCAATTAGGTCTAAGTTCAACTAACATATTTTTCACAAAAATAATATTAAGAGCTTGGAGAATCGAACTTGGGATGTCGGAGTTGGACCCTTTCAGCCAAGCTGCCCTGCCACTCGCCCATCACCTCCCGGACCTTTTTACATGTTTTGCAAAAAGAAACAATTATGAGCAAGGCCTCTCAATTTATTTCTTGACATAACATATAATTGTAATAAAAAAACGCATCTCTCGTAGAGTTAGAGAACCTAAGAAATAAGATCTCTTCGATACAGGTAAAAGTTAGTTATTTCTTTCTTATAGGATAATATTATATTGATGGATGATCAATATAAATAAACGAGACAATGATGAATAGAAACAAGTGTATGCACGATTACATTTATTAGGTATGTAACATATCTCTTTAATTATATTGTTAAATATGAAATCCCACTGATGAAAAGAATAGAGAAGAGGATACATCTGATCAGGTCGGTGCAGATCAGCCAACAATCTGGTTGTTGCATTTAAATCATTCCTCTTATGCGTAACAATATTATGGTCATGGACCGACCTACATAATTGTGATTGCAAGGGCCGGCTGCAGTAAATGATTTATAGTATTTATTTTGAAAACTGAACATTTGTAAAAACTAGAGAAATAGATTGTACAAACAGAATAAAGAGGGATAATTTCACTAAAACTGAAAGGAAAATACATATTTAAAACTAACATGTATTCTATTGAATATTAACATTATATGATATTGGCACTAGAAGAAACGAAAAGTATAAATACCTATTTTAAATTTTGCAGTTTTAGCTTCAATATGTTTTTGCAGTTTTAACCGAGAAAAACGTGATTTTGCAGTTTTAACGAGAAAATGTGAGTTTTTGGAGTTTGCGGAAAACATGGTTTTAAATTATGGCGTGAAGCATATTTTTTCGATTTGAATGACAAATTCTACTCTCCAGCAGATCCAAAGTCAAGTTTTAAACTACTACTATTTTTGAAAATACCCTCCATCTCTGATCTCTCCCAAATGAATTCGAACTTGGAGAGCTTCCTTATCAATATTTTTTTGTTTCTTTCAAAGAGGTCATGCATTTTCAGACATAAGTTACGATATTTCCCATAAGATATATACATTTCATTTTTTAGAGAAAAGCAAATAGCTAGAGAGATACTTCATTCTACATTAATGAAACATGCATTGGTCCACTCGTGAATCATGCATATAATAATGTGTCCGCTAAAATATTTACTACCATTCCATTTCCTTTTTTTGTATACCAATGTTAGTTGCACACTCGTGGGAGTTGGGAAGAACCGACAACCATTTTTGTACGTTGTTTATATAAATATATTGTACTTAGTTGTGAGCTAACGTAAAAGACGAATCTTGGGAAACCCAAAAAATTTGTAGCTCATCTACAAGTACTATATATAGATCTTGTTATTAAGCGATTAATGGAGCTTCTTAAAGTTCATTGATAGTTTTCTTAGAACTTTTTTTTTTGTTTTAAACTAGGTTTTACTTTTTTTCTGTAGAAAGTAGAGAAAGATTTGGGGGAAAATTAGTTATTATGGTGTGTTATCGATCTAAAGAAATTAATTGATATAATATATATAAACTAACTTATGTTTAATCTATATATTGAACAGAAAATATATAAACATGAATAACTAAATATTCTAAAAATCTCTTAAATATCATTTCTACAGTTTATTTCAACTTAAATCTCAGGGATCCGACGGATTTTTGATGGTCGATAATACTTGGTCCACAAAATACACATTTTTCTTTCCAGAATATCTCCCATATATAGTAGCGCTTGAAATTTCAGTAATCCAACATTTTCTTTTGTGGTAAGAAGGATGCCACTAACAACATTACTTACTTTTATTTCATTCGAACAACAATTTTGGTCAACGATATGGGTATTAGATTGTGAGCTTCCAACCTAAAACCAATTGGCAATAAGTGTAGAGGCCCATATATCTTATATAATAGTCAGGATCCTACTCAACTTACAATGTGGGATATTGTATCCCTAATAATGGGTAGGTACTACGTGAGTATAGTTTGAAGTTGTCCATGTTGTAATAAATATGATATCTTCTTAAAGCACATGCATTGCTCTTTTTGTGTGTTTAGAAGGGATGGAGACAGTGTTATAGTATGTATGAACATGTAGTAATTTGAAAGAGACGTGCATATTTACTAATATCACAACTTGTGTATACGACAACATGCATAGAAATATATATATACAATGAGATATTTACTCGACACTAGTGTTCTTAGGTAGATGTTAAGATATGAACATTCTATTTATGTGTTTTAGCGGATTTGATTGATTGGTTAGAAAAAACTTTAGACAGTGTGATTGAAATATTATGGCTTTATTTGCTTTCAATTGTTCTTTAATATTCAAAATCATGTATCTTTCTTTGCACAAGGAATAAAGTGTCGGCTCCAAAACTCTTCAAACTCGGTTTTGATCGATCTTGCAAGAGGTTTATATAGAAACTTGGGTTGCAAAGACATTAGGAGTAGAAAAATTAGTTGTTGAGATATTAGAAACAGTTAAGCTCTTTACCAAAGTCACTTCTACAATCTCGTTAATGCCAATGGTGACTTTGGTAAAGAGATTAGAGTTTCTCAACAACCAATTTTTCAGTATTAAAACAAATATTTCCTCTGTTCTATAATATAAGATGTTTAAGAAATTTTGTTTTGTTTCAATTTATAAGATGTTTTACAAATTTCTAAATAGATTTTAATGTTGTTTTAATATTTTTGACTCTTTTAATTCTGTAGTATTTCTTATGATTGGTTAAATTTTTATTTTTACTTAACTATTAAATGATATTAATTTATTAATTACTTGAAATTTTTTTTTTAATCTTTGTGGTTTTAGCTCAAACCTCTTATAATTTGGAACAAAGGGAGTATTATACTATCCGCTCTTCATTCTTGGTCTGATATCAGTCGAGAATTGTAGCTTTAAATCTGTAGGAGCGCAAAAATCAAATCTAAAAAAATACGAATTTTATTAATGAGAACGATATCATAAAGACATTACAACAACATAATTTAAAAATATAAATTTAAATCTCGGAGGCAAGATATGATATCTTTGTCCTTAATCCAATAAATCGGCCGTAAGTGCTTTGGTCTATCACGATTTATGAATCACAAGATACAACCGATTACGAACTATTACTCGAGCACACGAGTAATAGACTCAAACGAACTAAATCTACTATATACTCTCGAAACTATAAAACTAAGAACTTACTTGAACAAAGCAAGAGAGAAGAGAGGTTTAGAACTAAGAGGTTTAGATGCTTTTCCGTTTTTTGAGTGTGAAAAATAATGAGAGCCTCCTCCCCTTTATATAGTAGTGGAGTAGAAGAAGATAGGGCTCCAGAAGAATATCCTCGGCATATTCTGTAGAATATTCTAGGCATATTATGCAAAATATTTTCGGCATATTCTTTGAAATGCACACCAAACCTAATATTAAATTGGGCCTAAACAAAGCCCAAAAACCCTCAAAATGTCTAAAGCCATGAGCCTGCAAGCCCACAAGCCCATTAGCCCGCGCCCGGCTTGGTTTGGTTTGGTTCGGGATTTTTTGCAAAAAATCAGACCAAGTGGCTCACTTCACACCCTTATTTCTCATTCCATTCAACTCATTTTTTGACATATGAGTATACCATTTTGTAGTAATCGTTACCAGATTTCCATTGCACTATCAAGCTCACAATTCCGTTCAGCCATTTGGCCGGAAAGTTGCCGAAAAGTCATCGTAAAAAATCTGCAATTTTTCAGAAACTTATTTCTGAAAATTTTCAGTTCCAACAAAATCATCCCATAAAACTTGAGCTTCCTCCACCATTGATATGGATGTTTTTAGTGTGGAATCAATTTCGTTCATTATCTAAGTGATTAGCATGGAATTCACAACTTCCTACTGTTCAATTTCATCCTCATTGGTAGGTTTCTCTAAGGTTGGTTCGCAAGGCATTCCGCATATGCTTTGTCCACTCTTCATAGTTTTCTCCCTTCAATTGAACAGTAATAATGTTAAGGATGATGGAGATAAAATGGTGAAGTCATGTCTTTGTCTCCCACCGTTAGCTTACTTCCCAAATCCATAGTTCTCATCATTTCCGCGAAGTATATCTTCCGCTAATTTTCCACCATCGTCGTTGTGAGAAATTTGCCGTATTGGACTTCCTCGACCATGATCTCTTCTTTCTATTATTCATTGTTTTTGTTATTCATATTCATGAGAGAATATTTATACATAACATGTGAAACCCTAAATAAAAGACTAAGTAACTTTGACATATTTTTTAAAAATGGTACACTAGTATGTAATTGAATTTTGATGACCAATCTGGTTAGTACACGTAGAATGTTGAATAAGTTACGGTACGTTGTTGGGAGTGGTAGGTGGTAGGTGATGTTCGTTCGGCAGTCGCAGGAGACTTGCGATTGCGATTACAACTAAAAGTTGTTCGTTTCATAATCGTAGAGTCCTACGACTAGTCGCTGCGATTGCGACTGAAATTTTTTTATCGCAGGAAAAAACAGTGACACGACTATTTTAATTACGATTAGTCGCAGGAACTAGTCGCGCGATGAAGAAACGAACAACATCTCACGATTTATAAGCCGCAGCCGCCTGCTGTTATGAAACGAACATGGCCTATGTTTCGTCATTGCCATAGGGAACCAAACTGCATACCCTTCCCTCCTCTCGTATTGTTCATAAAAGAGATTAAAATTTTGTTCAAAAACTCATCTATGCTCTATGATATGAAAAACTAATGATACGGAAATAAAAACAATGACCATCCATTCCAAGTTCAAATGTATACATGCCACACATGTTAAACATATGTGACATTCTAGAAACAAAACTAGTCTTTAAAAACTGAAGTTTTAGATTAAAAAAAAAAGTCTTAAAATCTTTAAAAAACGAAACTCTCTAGCAATTAAGAAAAACAAATAACAAGAAGAGCAAGATATGATCATTATAGGTTCAATATATATCTTCTTTACTCTTCTAATCTTTGCTCCCAACACTTTTAAAGGTGGATGGAGCATCTCTCTCCACCCTTGGCTACTCGATATTGGCCTTGAGCTCATCAAAAGTGAAACCACGCTAGTCCCGGAAAAAAAGAAAAAAGCTAATCAGAGTCACTTCACCATGTCAAAATATATCATTTAAGATGTGATTAATTGACCATCATTATTGGGGGTATCTTAGAAGGCTAAGATATCTCAATTTTGCAAAGGAAATATCTTATATAAGCTAGTAACCATATTCATGTTTAGTGTAATTGGTTCAACATAATTACATAAACATGATATTATCAACCACAAAATAATAAAATGTGAGGAGAGTTTTTGAATGATGGAGATTACCCTTAGCTCATACTGTGACATCTTCATAACTTGTTCAAGTTTCAATTCACCATCCATGAGTCGTCCAGCTAACAATCGTGAATACTGCAAATTAACAAACATTAAGAGTCAAACAATGAAACATTCAATTACATAAAAAGTGAAATAAACGAAGAAAATTATATATATACTGCGTCTATATCTAGAATGTTAGATCAGAATCAAGACAAACAAAAAATTAATACTCCCTCTGTTTCATTCAGTGAAATAAACGAAGAAAATTATATATATACTGCGTCTATATCTAGAATGTTAGATCAGAATCAAGACGAACAAAAAAATGATACTCCCTCTGTTTCATAAAGAGTGCCAATCTAGAGATTTTTCCTTCTTCACAAATATTGTCACTCTACAATTCCAATATATTCTTTTACTCTAAATTTCTTAGTTTACCCTTAACCCAAAGCTCATTCATAGAATTTAAATCAGTAATCACTAATTAAATAGAGCCAAATATATATAATTTCCCCTTTTCTTAATTTGTGTGTGTTTATGAAAACAAAGGACTATTTTAGGATGAAATATTTTTCAAAGTTTAGGGTTTTGGGAACACATGCATTGACCAAAAAGAAAGAAAGAACACGTAAAAAAAGAATTGGAGGATAAAAAGGATGAAAACTAACCATGAATTCAGTGACAAGAATCTCCAACTTTTCTTTGTACTTTGGCATATCTTGTGCCAAAGAATCATACAAACTCTGCTCAAGAGCTCGCACCATAGGAACAACATTATCTGGCCAGAAAAAATCAAACTCACCAACTTCTTTCTTCTTTCTTGCATGACACCTACCCTTAACTGCTTTTAGAAGCTCATCCAATGTCTTGTCGCGAACCGAATCACCGGTTAACAAACCAAATCCCTCCAAGATCAAACCATAAGTCAGAGGACTCGTTCTCTTAGCTTTTCTGACATACCTTTTCCGGACAGGTCCTAGGCACTTTGGAGTGATCTTAGTCGTTTGGTTTTCCTCCTGATCAATGGCAGGAAGATCACCAAATCTTGAGGCCGTCTCAGTCACAAGATGATCAATCTCTTGCTTTTGATGCATGTCAAAGTCATCATCACTAAGCTTTCTTAGCTTCTTCTTGGCAAAATCATAAACATTTTGCACTATGAAGTCATGAGGATACCCTGCACGGCTTGGGATTTGTTTATCCTCTGGCACAAAATGCACAACACAGCTTTGAAGCACAGATTCCGCGTGCACCTCGTCGCGATGGAAGCTGTAGAAGAGGCTTCTTGCACCGTTGGATTTCCATTTTGCAATAGATTTTGCATCCACGTCCTCTGGGCGGTAGAACCATTGCACTTCAAGCTTCACATACTTTTCTTTGTTTGGTATGTAAATGTCCTGTCCAACACACAATTTAATTAAATGATGACATGAGTATAAGAACTAAAAATGATCATATCATTTTATTTTTTTGTGTTTTTGTTTTTACTAACCTTAATGATGGCACAATAGGGCTTGCGCTTAGGGTTCTCTGAAAACAAGAGCACTGAATCCTCCTATAGGGGGGAAAAATAATAGTCTAAATGGTTTATATATGTATAGATGTTTCACACATATTAACAAAAAATTCACTATATTTCTTAGCATATAACTCTTCATTAGTACACCAATATATATTCCAATTGTTGTAATAAGTCGTTAAAATCTATATATATTTCTTAGCATATAACTCTTCATTAGCACACCAATATTCCAATTTGTTGTAATAAGTCGTTAAAATCTTTTAAATTAATAAATCAAAAGGCAAAACCAAACTCACCAGCCCATATTGTTTGCCCTGAAACTTGAATGCCTGGAAATGATTTTTTTCCTTTTCTCCCTTGCCTGTAATCTTACTCACATCGCCGAATGGCTGCGCGCAATCCTCAGGTTTCCACTCTAACTCCGTTTCCTTTTTCTCATCCATTTCCTCGCAATCCTTTTTGCCCTCCCCCTGCTTCTTCTCCGTTTTTTCGATGTTTGAAAGCGATCCATTGGATCTTGGCGACACTTGATTCAACTCTTCGGTCAACATATCTTTCGTTAAAAACTTCCTGATGCGAGTCATAGTGAAATTTGAGCTTTTCGCAAAATCTTTGATGTATATCCTACAAATCTGTTTTTGTTTTCACCCTACAAATGAAGATTAAAACAAAATAAAAGAGTTGGCAACTTTGTGAATGATAATGCGCGAAGTAAGGTAACTTGAGAAAAAATTCTAGTCAATGTAACACTAAATGGGAAGTAAATAAATAGAGAAGATAGAGTTCTAATAATCTTTAAAAACCTTATATGGCTGATTGAAGTGACGTTTGAGATTAGATCATATGCAACGTTCTGATCTTTGATCCGAGAGATTGTACGGGCTTAGGCCCAAAATCTTTTAGTTATTAAAAAAAAGCACCCGTAAATTAATCTAAGGTATTTCTAAATGTTAATCAAATATGCATACAAAACCTAAAAACTCCAGAAATTTTCAAAAGACCGCGCAATTATACATAATTCAAACATATAACAAGCAGATCAATTAATTCAAAAATAACTCCTACATACCTTGTTATTTTTCCCACTTTAGCACATGTAAATAACTTTTTAACGGATATTTGACATTTTCATAATGACTTTTATATTGTAACAACTATAGGTGCTGTTCGTTTGGCAGTCGCAAGAGGCTCGCAATTGCGATTGCGACTGAAATATGTTCGTTTCGTAATCGCAGAGTCCTGCGACTGAAAATTGTTCATTTTGTAATCGCATGGTCCTGTGACTGGTCGTTGCGATCAATTGTTGCGATTGCGACTTAAACTTTTGATCGCAAAAGAAAACATCGACACAATTATTTTAATTGCGATTAATTATAGCGACTAGTCGCGCGATTATGAAACGAACAACATCTACGATTTATAATCAAAGTCGTAATCGCAATCGCAATCGCAGCCGCTTACAGTTATGAAACGAACTTGGTCTATGTGTTAATGTGTACAAAATTAGTTATTCGTACCGTGCCATGTATAGTAGAAAATGTATATGTAAATACTTTTACATCATTGGGAAACATTAAAAAACACCTTTCATATCACATTTGTTTTTATAAATACCCTAAAATATCGAAGGTATATCTAAACACTTAGTAACAAATGCAACCTAAAACTAAATGGCTCATACAATCAGAATAGGAGATCACTCAAACGTCAAATTTTTAACAAAAACACAAATTTTACCAACAAGAAAATTATACTTAAAACTTTGTAAAAAATAAACAAAAAAAGAAGAACAGTTTCACAATTCATATTAGTGTTACAAGAACGTGTACCTGATTCTCCTGATCCTTATCCCACCAAGACCCAATGCTTGAGTATGTTTCAGCTTCGTATTACAAAAATCAAACTACTCATATATATATTACAACATATGTTTTTTTTCTTCTTACAATGTTTTTGTGAGCATATCTCTTTTAAACTAGATTTATAAATCATCTATGTGCTTTATTATATATATATACTAGATATTATATATTAAAAAGTAACTTGTGTTTAGTAATTTCATTTTAGCTAGACTTAAGAAAAGAAGAAAAAAAGGAAAAATTTAAAATTAATATATAATATTTAAATGAAAATTTTATTAATTCCTTTAATAGCAATTAAAAGTAAATGTAAGTAATAGGAAACATTTAATTTTATTACAATGTATTTGGAGAGGTGAGCTGTAACAAAAGCTAAGTAACGTAAAAATTTGGGTTTTGTATGAACTAATTCCTAGTTATGTTATCTTCAACTTATGTAGACATGATATATAATCTTTTTCTTTATTAATAAAACAGTTGTCAGTAGAATTTGTACAAATGTAAAGTAGTTTTAATGAATTAATTGTCACCCAAAAAATAAAAAAGTAGCTTTAGTTTTCAAGAAAAGAAATAAAAAAGCAATGCCACACATGTATTATTGTTATCTTATATAAAATTTGTCCAACAAAAGTAACAGTTTGGAAGAGAAGACATTTACAAATTTACATAAACAATATATTTTCTCTGGACTAGTGAATGAGTGTGAACTTTTAGAAGTCTTCTTTAAGTGACTTGAATATGCCAAGAACATAGACATGATTGTTTTACTCTTGCAGTAAATTTTCTTGAAATTGTAATGATGCTCCTTTGATTTTTGTTTTTTTTTTCCTTTATTACTATTAAATTAAGTCAGGGTGGTTCAAAGGTTTTCTAGGTCCAAAATTAATTCTTTCACCCGTTGAAACCGGTTTAAATTTCTAAAATTATGGTGACTAATGTTACTCGAACCCTGGTGACGGAAAATTACAACCATTCGACCAAGGCGACTTGGTTTTTGATTTTTGTTTTTCAGCATGACATAATCCAAATTAGGATATGAATCGTCCCTAGGACTCTTTTGAAAAACATGGTTGTTTCATCCTAAAGTTGAAGAATCCAAGCAACACTAGATGTTTGGTCCTCTTGTTTCCAAGGAGGCAAGGATCATACCAATATAAAACAATCGGATTTCGTATTCAATAAGCAAGATGATACATGAAAGTGGAAATATATCATACTATTGGGAATCGCAGACCCCAATTCATCTCTATATGAATCGTTGACCACGACTTTGTCCCAACTCCTCTTTGGATCACAGATCAATAACAAGGCATAAACATAATACAGAGATTTAACGAGTTCCCCTCTGCGTGAGGGTATATCTTGTGTCGGAACCTTCTCCCACAAACATCCACTATCCGTCAGTTAGGTTTACACAACGCTCTAACAAGCGTTTACATTATGTTTCATATACAAAGCTTAGAGAGCAACAACAAAGAAACCTGAAGAAGAAAATATAGGTAAAGACACATGTTCACTGTCTTAGATGTTTTTCTTCTTCCTCTCTCTTTGTCTCTGATTCAACTTTCCCTTCCATGTATCACCACAAAAACACCTCACTGAACCCCCAAGAAACAGCTCCACCCTTTGTCTTTCATCAAAGTGTCATGAAGACACCTTAAGTCTAGACTAGGTCATGTTCAGCTCTCAGTCCTCGGCCCCAGCCTAGCTACTGTTTTCTCAGGGTTCAGAGCACTGCTGCATGCTCTTTGCACAACGCCATGCGCATGCTCTCAGCACCGCTCTGCGTTATGCCTTGCGGCTACAACTAGCCTTCAGCGTGTGACCTTTTGCGTACAGCATTTAGCATATATGTTTCTTCAGCCCTAGTTTCTCTAATATAATGAAACCCTAGTGCTTATGTCGGTTTACTCTTGCAGCATACACAACTCGGATCCTGTATGGGCTACACACTACTACAGGCCCAATTCACTGATTCAGACAAAATAAGCCCATATGAAGCAAACATATACAACACATACTTCTAAGGAAAAAAAACACTAGCCAATACAACACTAGCTGCATTGTAGACTCTTCGTTCCCATGATGATCTGATCCCAATCCTCCTTATACAAATCAAACCTAGCTAGCCTAGTAAAAAAGACCAAATCCTTTCAAGATCCTATTGAGAGACATCTCACTCCCATGATTGTCTTTCACTCTTACTTACATACAGTCTCACTCCTGAATACTAAAATATCCCTCAAAACTGAACACTTTACATGGCTTTTTACCACAAGGTTAAGCGATAAATTCAAGAAAGTCGTAGTGAACACTTTATGGTAACAGATGTTCTAAGTAAGGATGACCTTAAATTCTCAAACTTTAATCCAGAAGCAACTCGAGACGATGAATCCATAACTAGAGTTTGAGATTTAGGTCAAGAACCACAGGATATCTTCAAGGACATGTCTTTTAACATGGAGAAAAGTGTTGAGGATTGAATCTCACCGGCTGCATAGCAATTGTGTACTAAATGTCGTATTTTGATGGCTCTTAGAAAGACAACTACTATATGTTTAACAGATTATGTTGGATTCACTTTCTGGATGGTGAGATAGTGTCACTGGGTGACAGAACACAAAAGAGATAACCGCAAGATATCTACCAAAACAATATATATTCGTGCGACTAAAAGTATTCTCAATCGAAAATTAGCAAATATATATCTCTATTTCCTTGTTTCTGAGTTTTAGATAGTAAAGATGAGATTCAAAGTCCTCCAGAGAAGTTATTGCTCTCTTCACCTTACTTGCTGCTCTCGTTAAGAGGAAGGTAGACTCCTTCTGCTGCCAACCAAATGTTATCCGCCCGCTTCTCCCGAATTCCACAGACCTGTGTACCCCAAAAAACAGAATCTGATATGTTAAACCTTGTAGAAAATCTAATTAAGCATGCATTTGAAGACACTGTGATATTTTTAAAGACTTAACCAGAAGAGATCACGGGGTTAGATATGATATTTAGTTACCTCTTGTTGACCACCGGCTATACGTTGGTACTTCTTGTCATGGCTATGGAGGTAGCCACTAGTGTCTATGTGTTGAAGACGGACTCTCTGGTCCTGTTTCCATATCTTCCCACTTCCTTCGATTGTAAGCCTACAAGCAGATGGTAAGGTGCGTGAGTTTTTGGAATGGATGTAGATAAACAAAGCATTAGATGAGAATATTAAGTTGCTTTAAGGATTATTACTTCCAGTGATCCCCTGTGTCAGAATTTGAATCATCTCCGAAGCAGCTAACCTGCACCAAGAAAATGGGTTAGCAAGAAGGAAATGGCAACTACCAATTATAATCAGTAAAGTACTTCACAATAGACAGAGACACGCAAGTAAAATCCTCATACTAGTAGCTAGATTTCCTAGATTAGCCATCATCTCTCGAGTCTTTATGCTTTAAAATCTCCAGATAGTTCTTTTACATCTAAGCTTAGCAGATCAGGGAATACAAAAACTATAAACGGAAGACAATACTAACCTCTAAGTTCCCTGATATTGGGGATGCATGCAGGTGACTGTGGAGCCATTTCCTGGTCTTCATGTGCTGCAATCTAATGGTTGCCCCAGTCTTGACAGCATCACCTTGCTTATCTGTAGTCCCAGGAACTGGTTTGACAATCTGTAAAATGAATAATCCATACCAAGATGATTCATCAGCTCAATTACTCAACCTTATCCCCACCATAGCTTCCACAGATGGGATTTAAAGTGTGAGATGAACATAATGAGCAACAGTTTCTAACGCTCAGGAAACAAACCATCCAATCCATTTTCTAATCTTTCTAGAAGAGGAAGTGACTTCAACATTTTTGGCTTATCCGCTAACAATTGCTAGTCAATGTTCTGTTCTAACATATAAAGACTTTTACTTTTAGCTGCTTCAATCTAATTACACATGATACTATACGAATAGGGTCATCTGCAAATGAGCATTGCAAAATTACACCAAGAGGAGAACGCAAAGAAGAAGCAATTACCCAATAGCTGTTGGAATCAACAACACCAGGAAACCCAGTAACTGATTGCTGACCACTTCCGGATCCATACGGCACATCGTGAGAATGCAGTCTAAACTTAGTTTTCTCATGCATCAGTTTGATCGCACTTCCATAAGTAATCTGCCAATATCCACAACAACAACATTGATTCATAAGATTCTGTATCAGAACGATCAAAACCCAATTCGAATCTAAAGCAACAAATCAACAATTCCAATTTCAAATTCACCACACTCAAAAACAGATTAGGGATCTAAAAACACACCTCGACACCTTCTTTACCAGAAGCGGCGGCAGAAGCAGACGTGTAACCAGAATCCGGATCGAGACTAAGGTAAAGGAAGATAGCGAGACAGAAGAATCCTAAAGCCATGAAGAATAGCAAACCAATAAACCAGTTCTGCTGCCAAAACGGATACTCAAGACTCGGTTTCCTCGCCGCGGGAGCCCGAACAGCCGAAGCTGCTAATGGCGAAGGAGGAGATGATGATGATAATGGCTTTCTTCTCGAGAGAGCTTGTTGTTGCCCGGACGTCGACGCCACCGTGAAGGATCAGATTGAGATCTCGCCGGAGACAAAATCTGTTAAGTTTCCGATTGTATTGTATCGTCGTTCGTCGTCGTCGTGGCTTATGAGAGAGGCTTCGTCTTCGTCTAATAGTCTAGTTTTTGTTGACACGGAGGTGTACGTTTAGATAGCGAATGATAATTAAACACGTGTTGCTTTGCTGAGATGGCGTGTTATGAGTGGTTGCAAAAGAGGCAAAATCTATGCTAATTCCATGAATTTTATGTGTGTATTCAATAAAATAGTTATGGTCTAATGGAGTCTAAATTATTTATTTCAGGACATAAACTTAAATAGATGATAGTTGTTAAAAAAATTCAAAACTTAAATAAATGATTGTTTTTATATAATTTTCAAAAATAAAAAATAATTTACAATGTAATCTTAATATATAAAATATGGTTTTTAAAGTTAGTCATTAACGTGATCTATGACGCGTGTCAATTAGATCGATAAGATGTTAACATGTGTTAACTGTAAATTTATTTAAATAAAAAATGTAAAAGTTCTAAATCGTATTGCAAAAAAAAAAAATCTATATGGAAAAATATAAAATATATCTATTCCTATATTGAAAAACATTAAACTATATTTCTACTTTGGAGCCCTTCATCTTTCCGAATCAATGGTCTTCATCTTTATAATTTTATTTTTTAATATTTTAATAAATTTAGAATTGACACATGAACATCTTATGGAGCCAATTGACATGTGTAATGATAATGTTAATGAACTAGCTTTGAAAACAATATTTTATATAATAATAAGATATATAATTTTAATCCATCTTTTTCTTTGGGATCTATAATTTATTGTATATAATTTCTCTTTATTAGTATATTTTTAAAAATTTGTAATCCATTTACTTTTAAGATTTTTAATTTACTAAAGCTCTTCTTTTCATTTTTCAAAATCTGATTATTGAAGTTTTCTGATACACCGGAACTTGACATTGAAGAGAGGAGTGAAGAAGGAGAGTGAAGCTCGTAACAAACTTTATTATTGATGTAAAAGAATATTACAAAGCTTGATCTGAAATTAGAGTATACACAGAGTATTTATACTCTTTCTAATACTAAGCTAAACCAAGATCTTAACCAGAAATAACCGGTTCTAATAACCATCCAAGTATCTAATCTACCCCCCTCAAGTCTTTATCTTCAAACTGTCTGGTTTGGGAAGATAAAGACTTGAAAGTGACATTTTTGAGAGCAAATGGTAGAAAGGTCCTGGATGTAGTGGTTTAGTGAGAATATCAGCATGCTGATTATCAGTGGAAACATGGAGAGTCTTCAAGTTTCCAGCTTTGAGTTGATTCCGCACTGTATGACAATCCATCTCGATGTGCTTCGTTCTCTCGTGAAACACAGGATTATTGGCGATATGTAATGCAGACTTGTTGTCACAAAAGAGTTTGGCTGTACACGTGACTTTGACATGAAGATCTCTGAGTAGTTGCTGCAACCATATGATCTCACATGTAGCTTGTGCCATGCTGCGATACTCTGATTCTGTACTGCTTCGACTTGCAACTCCTTGCTTCTTTGATTTCCAGGAGATTAAAGAAGAGCCTAAGTAAATGCAAATTCCTGTAATAGATCGTCTTGTGTCTTTGCATGTTCCCCAATCCGCATCAGAAAAAGCATTCAAACAAAGTTCTGATTCAGCTGAGTAAAACAGACCTTGCCCTGGATTGCCTTTGATATATCTGAGTACCTTATTCGCAGCTTGTAAGTGAATGTCTGTAGGAGCTGAGATGAATTGACTGAGTTGATGAACCGCAAAGGTGATGTCTGGCCTTGTGATGGTAAGATAGAGTAGGCGTCCAATCAATTCTCTGTAAGTTGTTGGATTTGGCAAAGCATCTCCCATATCTTTCCTAAGATGTAGATTTGGATCCATAGGTATCGGACTTGGTTTACAACCTAGTAAACCTGCATCTTCAAGGAGATTCTGAGCATACTTCCTTTGGCAAACAGAGATTCCTTTAGCAGATCTTGATATCTCTAATCCCAGAAAAAACCTTGCTGGTCCTAAGTCTTTTATCTTGAATTCTGTCCTTAAAAGCTCTTTTAGACCTTCAACTGCTCTATCATCATTGCTAGCTATCATGATATCATCAACATAGACCAAAGCTGCAATGAATGATCCATTCTTCACTTTCACAAACAGAGTGTTATCTGCTGGCGATTGAACAAAGTTTGCTCCCAAAAACACAGATGAAAGTCTCTTGTACCATTGCCGTGAAGCAACCATAAAGAGACTTGCGAAGTCGACAAACCGGATTAGGGGGCAAATTTGTATCTGGTGGTGGTGTATAACCTTGTGGAAGGCTCATGAAGATCTCTTCATCCAACTCACCATGAAGGAAAGCATTAGACACATCCATCTGTGTCAAGCTCCATCCTTGTATAGCTGCCAAACCAAGTATAAACTTGACACTTGTTAGTTTTGCAACAGGTGAGAAAGTATCAATATAATCAATACCCTCTTGTTGTGTAAAACCTTGTGCCACTAATCTGGCCTTGTATCGCTCAACTGTTCCATCAGGGTTATACTTAATAGTAAACACCCATTTACATCCAACCACATTCTTTCCAGATGGTAAAGTTTCAATATCCCAAGTGTGATTAAGCTCAAGAGCCTGAAGCTCTTCACCAGCTGCTTTAATCCATTTTTCTGATTTCATGGCTTGGGCAAAGGTTTTAGGTTCAGTTTCTAGACTATAAGAGAAAATATAAGATTGGTATTGGGGACTGAATTTATCAAGGGAAAGGACAGATTGTATTGGATATGGAGTAGTATGGGGTTTTGTGGGTTTCTGTTTAGGGGAAGGATAAGTAGGAGAAGGTGTAGAAACGGCTAGGATAGGTAACTGATGAGATATGGCTAGAGAACAGTGATACTGAGACAGATAACTAGGTGCTTTAACATTACGCTTAGGCCTAGCAATAAGTACAGAATCACTATCTATCCCATGAGTATCTACAGTATTATTATTTTGAATGGTACTAGGGACTATAGGTGCAGAAGATGATATATCAGTATGCATATGCAATTCAGATGCAGTTTCATCATCATTATCATCAAACATGGACAAAGAATCAACAAAATGTAAAGGTGCAGGCATTGGTAAAATTGTATTAGGAAACATATCAACAGACTTGTGTAAGTATTCAGATGTTTTAAAAGGAAAAACAATTTCATGAAAGACAATATTGCGAGAGATAGAAACTGAATGATAACCGGATGGATAACCTAAGAAAACACAAGGTTTACTTCTAGGTGTGAATTTATTTCGAGTATGAACAGGTGTAGAAACAAAACAGAGACAACCAAAGTTCTTTAAAAGACTGTAATCCGGTTCTTTATGACATAGTAATTCAAAAGGAGATTTATGGTTTAACAATGGTGAAGGTAACCTATTGATAAGGAAAACAGCAGTCATAATGCAATCACTCCAATAAGGCAAGGGTATATTTGATTGAAACAAAAGTGACCTAGCAACATTTAACAAATGCTGATGCTTCCTTTCTACCACAGAATTCTGTTGAGGAGTGTAAGGACATGAAAAATGATGCACCATGCCATGTTCTTTAACAAGTTCTGTAAATGCTAACTCAGGTGCATTATCTGATCTAATAGCTTTAATCTTTGCATTATACTGTGTTGAAACTAGTTTAATGAAAACAGGAAATACCAATGAAACATCACTTTTATTTCTTAACATGTAAACCCAAGTAACCCGAGTACAATCATCGACTATGGTAAGAAAATATCTAAAACCTTCAATAGACTCTACACTAAAAGGACCCCATATATCTAAATGAACAAGTTCAAAAGGGACAGAAGCTAGATTATTATGAGAAATATACGCTAATCGTTTTTGCTTAGCTAATGGACAGATTTGACACTGAGAAACATCAGAAACAGAAGACTTATGAATAGGTAAAATACTAACTAACTTTTGCATTACTTGAGCTGATGGATGCCCTAGTCTTTGATGCCACAGAACACCATCAGTCATCAAAGATTCAGAAACAGAACATACTGCAGGAAGTGATGGAGAGAGGGTGTTTTGTTCTTGTGCAAGAATGTATAAATTGTTGTATAAGCTACCCCTCCCAATCATCAAGCCCTGAGAAAGTTCCTGAATTAAACAACAATTTGGAAAGAAATGAGTTGAACAGAACAATGTTTTTGCTAAACAACTAACACTAATCAAATTAAACTTAAAATCCGGAACATGTAAAACATTATGCAATATCAATGAATGTGAAATGCATATAGTGCCTGTGTGTGTAATAGGGACCCTAGCACCATTTGGTAAAGTAACTGTGATACTAGAAACAGGTACTAATTCCCTAAACATTGCTAGATCTGAGCATACATGGCTAGAAGCACCACTATCTATAATCCAAGCATCACTAGGTAGGAATTGTTCTAAGGCAGAAAGTGCATGATCTTTGAAGTAGAATTTGTCATTTTGAAAAGTAAGGCTGGAAGTAGGAAAAGAAATGATACCCGAAGTAGAGTTATTAGCCATGAAACCTTGCTCAGTAACAGTAGCAGTCTTAGAAGTAGCCACAGGCTCTGGAACTTGAACTTGAGTATTAAATTGAGAGATGAGTTGTTGTATCTGTTGTGGTTGATACTCCTGTTGCTGTGTAGTGCCATCATGTAAACCAGAACTAGAAGCAGCAGCAGGTATATATTGTGGAGATGGATATAGTGGAGCAGCATATTGGTTATAACCAATAGGAGCATAAGAAGACTGTTCTGCATATACATTTGCAACCGCATTAGCTCTCTGGACAGCATCATAAGGAACCATTTGCATCTGCATTCGTGGCTGCATCTGAGGAATCCGAGGTTGCAGTTGTGGTGCTGGCATCCTTGGCTGAACAGGTGGTTGAGACGTAGCTCCCCTAGGATTGTATCCACCAGTCTTATAACCAGGAGGATACCCATGCAACTTAAAACACTTGTGAACTGTATGCCCCAATTTACCACAGTGAGTGCAGACTGGCTTTTGAGCTGGTCTAACAGTGTTATATGCTGCAATATAAGCATTCTCATCTTCATAAACCATAGGCGTTTGATTTGTCTGAAAAGCAACATTATCAATCCGAGAGGTAGGCTTGATAGTTCTCTGTCTTTCATCCTGAGTAACCATATGAAATGCCTCCTCTATCGATGGAATTGGCTTTAACATCAAAATGTGTCGCCTTATCTGATCATAACCTTCATTTAAGCCCATCAAGAACTTGGTTACACGACTTCGTTGCTGTAACTTCTCCCATTTTACAGCTGCATCACACTCACAATGACCACAAGTACAAACAGGAAGTTCCACATAATTCTTGTATTCTTCCCATAGTGAAATCAACGCAGTATAATAAGCAGATACATCTAGAGATCCCTGTTCAATCTTATTCAAACGTTGTTCTATATCAAAGATCCTAGGAGCATCATCTTGCTTGAATCGAGTCATTAAACTCTTCCACATTCCCTCAGCAGTAGAGATATACAGTAAACTCTTTCCGATAGACTTATCAACAGAGTTTAATAACCAAGTACTCACAATATCATTGCATCGTGACCAAGTACCTGAATCAGGATGATTATCCGGTGGTTTTGGTATCTCACCATTGACAAAACCAAGTTTATTTCGCACATTCAACGCCATCCAAATCGATCGCTTCCAAGAATGAAAATCAGAAGCTGTAGTAAGACGATCCGAAACCAGAAGCAATCCCGCATGATCATTGCTGTTTAAGTAAAACGGATTCTCGTATTGATCAGTTTGAAACCTCGGCGGATCTGGATTACGATTCACCGGAGCAGGTGGATTTGGTGGAATTGGCAGATTCACCGGTGGCAATTGCGATCCCATTCTTTCAAGAAAGTAAGAAATGAAGAAAATGTATGTCGAGAAATCAAAGATTCGATCACACAAAAGGTCAATCAAAGAGAAACAAAGAGAAAGAGAATGAAGAAACAACGGAGAATCCCGAAGAACAATTCACAAAGAAGAACAAGAATCTGGACAATCAAAGATGAAAAAGAAATCGAACAACTCATCTTCATAGATTCAACCTCTAAACCAAGATTCCGATGATATCAGTGAAAGCGGAAGATTAATTGCACAGCTCTGATACCATATTGAAGTTTTCTGATACACCGGAACTTGACATTGAAGAGAGGAGTGAAGAAGGAGAGTGAAGCTCGTAACAAACTTTATTATTGATGTAAAAGAATATTACAAAGCTTGATCTGAAATTAGAGTATACACAGAGTATTTATACTCTTTCTAATACTAAGCTAAACCAAGATCTTAACCAGAAATAACCGGTTCTAATAACCATCCAAGTATCTAATACTGATTGATAAACAATTCATTTACTTTTAGGGTTTTTAATTTACTAAATAAAATTCTTTTTACAATATCCAAAATCTGACCGATTAATAATACATTCATTTTTTAGGATTTCTAATTTATTACATAATTTTCTTTTTCAAGTAATTATAATCCTTTATTATAGGATATGTAATTTACTGTATAATTTTAGGGGTGTATTCAATCTATAACTTTAAGTGATTAGAGTTCTGTTTAAAATCATTGATTGAATAACATAGGATTTGTAAATTTATCATAAATCCCTTTATTATCATATTTTATATTTATCTTGAAAAAATAAAATTCTAATCCATTTACTTTTAAAATCTGTAATTTACTAGATATTGATCTTTCTTTTTACATTTGTCAAAATCTGATCGATAAACATGCCCGGTATCACCATCATATGTGTTTCTAAGTTAAAACCAAAGCATTATATAATAAGATAGATACCTTAGTTTCAACTTCATTTATACTCAAACTCCTAATTCTCCATGAAAGAGAAGGACCAAGAACTTGACAAGGATGGTTCCAACAAAGGCCCAAGTCACCTAGAATTGACCTCTCTTGATATTACCGTGGAGATTCTAACTAGATTGCCAGTAAAATCTCTTATGAAGTTCCAACATGTTTCGAAGACATGGTGTTCCATCATCCGAAGCAAAAATTTCATCAGTTCTTTGGTCTCAACACCATCACCACTATTTCTAATATCTTTAATGACCAATCAAACGACCAAGGAGAATGCTAAAAAAAGTTTGTTCTTATATACGTCTTTACAAGAGAAAGATGAATCTTCTTTGGTAGCAAATCTAGACATGACACTAACTTCAGATGCTGATAATTTTTCTATAAAGTGTGCTTCGGTCAATGGCTTTATTTCCCTTTCCCATAATGGTCGGTTCGCGGTATGTAACTCTAGCACAAAACAAGTGATATTATTACCGAAATGCGAAACCGCAGGTACTAAATGGGGATCCGTTTATAAGTACTTGGGGTATGATCCTGTTAATGATCAATACAAAGCATTGTGTAAGAAGATGTTTACAAAACCTGATGAAGATGAAGATCACATAGTTTTAACACTTGGAGCTGGTAAAACACATACATGGAGACAAATCAAAGGCCCTCCCCATCATTATGCCCCTTTAACAAGAGGAATATGCATAAATGGATTTGTGTATTATCTCGCTTGGACTCCCGATTTACCTAGAGTAGTAGTGTGTTTTGATGTTAGATCAGAGAAGCTAAGTATTATTAAACTAACACTATCTGCATGTTGGGACGACTCTACTTCAGCTTTGATCAACTACAAAGGAGAGTTAGCTTACATTATTATTGATGGATGCTTCCTCGATTTTTGGGTATTAATAGATGCAAAAGAACATAAATGGTCGAATAAATTTCATCAACTCTATAGACATTGGTGGGATTCTATACCAGTAGACGTTCCAATATCTATCCATGGCACTAACAACGTTGGTGAAATCATTATTTCCCCAAAGTATTTACTATGTAACCTTGGACATTTTCCCATTATCTACTACAATGTAGAAAACGAAAAAGTTACAAAGGTTCAACTTAAAGGAGTTGCAGGTGATGAAGATTTTAGAAGTCGTTATGGTCCTTGCCTTGTCAATATCTCATCGGAACATTGTTGTAATTTTAACTTAATATGATGTACTGAAAATAAAAACTTGTAGTCTTAAAGCATGCATGATGACTTGATTTTTAGTTTCTTTGTTTTTTTACTAAATGTTGAATATCTATTTATTTTAAATTTTAAGTTTGGGAAAATTAGAATAGAAGATAAATATTTAAAACATTTGTCCATCTATCTATGCATCCGCATAACTAAAATTGGTGACATATGATTTAACATTTTAGAAACTCCATTATACCCACAGTTAAAATTCTTTTTTTGAGACCCCAGTTTGCGGAGAGGTTTAAATGAATTAATTTGATCACCTATGTCAAGTGCACTTATCTTTTCGGTCATAGGTCCTGAAAGAACTCCAGAATTACGTGTGCTTCAGCTAGAGTAGTTAAAGAATGGGTGACCTTCCGGGAAGTGATTGTCGGAACTGCGTAAATGAGGCCAAAACACAAGGAAATATCATGTGGTAATTTGTATGATCGGTAATTAAACAAGTAGTTAAGCCTCTCAGACGTAGCAAACTGGTTGTCTGATATTTGTGGGCTCATAGGCCTAGTGAGAGGACGTGAGACCCATTAAGAAGAGTAGGTACATGCGCTGATGGTGAACATGAGCCCACTAGAGAGATGGCAGTCATGGTGTTAATTTTTTTTATTCTCTTTTCGTAATTGTTTTTATTAAAATCTCTATTGCTCCACTTAAACTTTTAGGAAGATCGACATCTCATTTTATTATTTTTGCCAACAATCAATTAATCAATATTCATTTATTTGTGCTCAATGTTTTCCAATATTTTTATATTTTTACATAAGCTACATGCATTAAAATCTTAAAATGAACACATGTAAAACTATACTAATACATATTCTCATCGCTGATTAAAAAATTTATTTTTCTAATTTCATTATTTTTTAACTTTTTTTTGGTTTTTACTTACTAATTAATATATATATATATATATCAAAAATATGGTTTGTATTCAATTAAAATTAAATTATGTTAAATAACAAAATTTGTTATTTTTAATTTTAAAAATTGTTATATTTTTTTGTTTATATCAAAATCTAATTGAGAACACAGGTACAATGGAAAATTAACAATATCTTATTATATTACATATTGTCATTTTTCCTTTTCGATTTAGAAAGAGAAATTACACATGCATCATCCAATTAATGTAATTGACATGTGTCACGATCTTGTTAATAGATAACTTTGAAAACCAAACTTTATATAATAAGATAAGATCTATAATTTAATCCATCTTTTTCTTTGGAATCTATAATTTATTGTATATCTAATTTTCTCTTTACTAGTATATTTAAGAGAATTTTTGAGAAATACCCCTTTTGGTGTACCCCTTTTTAAAAATACCCCCTTTATCTATCTATTTTCAAAAATACCCCTTTTTAAATATAAAAAATTATAAAGTTCTATATAGTTTATAAGGTACTTCTATATAATAACTACTACTGGGAGATTCGATACAAATATTTTAAAATGTTTTAAATAGTTTTAAATCGTTTTTATAAGTTTTATAAGGTTTTTAAAAGGATTTATACGGTTTTTATAAGGTTTTTATAAGGTTCTTATAATTTATTTTTACGCTATTTATGAAAGGTATATAAAGTTTTATACACATATAAAGGTAATTTGTGTATATATTTATAAGCTTACACACATATTTCGATAAATTTCAACATTTTTATTGGGGTTTTTGATAAAGTTTGAAAAGGGGGTATTTTTAAAAAGAGGTATATGAAAAGGGGTATTTTTGAAATTCGTTTACTTTAATATTTTTAATTTACTAAAACTCTTCTTTTAATATTTTTAATTTACTAAAACTCTTCTTTTCACATTTTTCAAAATTTGGTTGATAATTCATTTACTTTTAAGGTTTTTTTAATTTAATAAATAATCTTCTTTGTATAAAATATCCAAAATCTGACTGATAAATAATACATTCATTTTTAGGATTTCTAATTTATTACATAATCTCCTTTTTCAAAATAAGTAATTAGAATCCTTTATTCTTTATTATTATATTTTTATATATATCTTGAAAAAATAAAATTTTCATCTATTTACTTTTAAAATCTTTAATTTACTAAATAATGATTTTCTTTTTACATTTGTTAAAATATGATCGATAAACATGCCCCGTATCACCATCATATGTGTTTCTAAGTTAAAAACCACCATATGCATTATATAATAAGGTAGATACCTTAGTTTCAAATTTATTTATACTCAAACTCCTAATACGCCATGAAAGACAAGGATCAAGAATACAACAAAGATGGTTCCAACAAAGGTCCAAGTCACCTAGAATTGATCTCTCTTGATATTACCGTGGAGATTCTAACTAGATTGCCAGTAAAATCTCTTATGAAGTTCCAATATGTTTCGAAGACATGGTGTTCCATCATCCGAAGCAAATATTTCATCAACTCTTTAGTCTCGACACCATCACCTCTATTTCTTATATCTCTAAGGAATTATCAAATGACCAATGAGAATGCTAAAAAAAGTTTGTTCTTATATACGTCTTTACAAGAGAAAGACGAATCTTCTTCTTTGGTAGCAAATCTAGATATGACACTAACTTCGGATGCTAAGTTCTCTACACCATGTCCTTCGGTCAATGGCTTTATTTCCATTTTCCATAAAGGTCGGTTCGTGGTATGTAACCCGAGCACAAGACAAGTGGTATTATTACCGGAAATCGAAATTGCGGGTACTAAATGGGAATTTGCTTTTAAGGTCTTGGGGTACGATCCGGTTAATGATCAATACAAAGCAATGTGTAAGAAGATATTTACAAAACCTGATGAAGATAAAGATCACATAGTCTTAACACTTGGAGGTGGTAAAACACATACATGGAGACAAATCAAAGGCCCTAACCATCATTATTCTCCTGTAACAAGAGGAATATGCATGAATGGATTTGTGTATTATCTCGCTTGGACTCCCGATATATCTAGAGTGGTAGTGTGTTTTGATGTTAGATCAGAGAAGCTAAGTATTATTAAACTAGAACTATCTGCATCTGCATGTTGGGCCGACTCTACTTCAGCTTTGATCAACTACAAAGGAGAGTTAGCTTGCGCTATTATTGTTGGATGCTTCCTTCATTTTTGGGTATTAATAGATGCCAAAGAACATAAATGGTCAAATAAATTTTGTGAACTTCATAGAGTTTGGTGGGATTCTATAACAGTAGACGTTCCAATATCTATCCATGGCACTAACAACGTTGGTGAAATCATTATTTCTCCAAAGTATTTACTACATAACCTTGGACATTTTCCCATTATCTATTACGATGTAGTAAAAGAAAAATTTAGAAAGGTTCAACTTAAAGGAGTTGGAGATGATGAAGATTGTAGAGCTCGTTATGGTCCTTGCCTTGTCAATATCTCATCAGAACATTGTTGTAATTTTAACATAATATGATGTGCTTACAAAAAAAACTTGAAGTCTTAGAGCATGCATGATTATGATGAGGAATCTTGGATTTTATTTTATTTGTTTTTTTACTAAATGTTGATAATTTATTTTTAAAAAAATTTTAGTTTTGGGAAATTAGAATAAAAGAAAAATATTTAAACATTTGTCCATCTATCTATGGATTCTATGACTAAAATTGGTGACATATTATTTCACATTTTAGAAACCCCATGATACCCACAATTTAGAGAAAGAAAACTTTAAAATTTATTATTTTCCAAAGTTGAATAAATTATGGGTTTTTTTATTCTTTTTCCCTTTTCATAAAAAATTTCTATTAATTTACAGAAAAATAATCTCCAATGCTCCACATAAAAATAGAAAAGTATCGACATCTCATTTTTTAATTCTGATTCTAGCGCCAATGTTTTTCTCTCTTCCTCTCATCTAGCCGGAGTTGATTCTTTTGAATTCGGGATAGTTCGAGTTTGGGAATTAAATATTTTCCTCTTTTAATTATTTTTGTCATGCTTGAAATTTGTTTCTCACAAAACTTTGATTGGTCTATCATATTTTTTTTTTGAATAATCAAAGAGGTTCTGGACAGAAGTCCTTACATCCCCTCAGACTCGAGACCAAAGCATGTTATATGGTCTCGTCCCAAGCGCTACTCGAACCGGCGACCTCTAAACTTTTGCCAGATATCTTTACCAATTGAGCTATTAGCACTTGATAAAGTCTAATCATATGTTTCCAAACATGAATTTTTTTTTTGACAATAGGACGAAATTAAATAAACTCGAAATATTCAGTTTCATATCTTTTGATTATGTCTCCTCTTTTTAGGTGCTCTATATTACATATAACGTACTTTATAATTTTTGTAGAATATAAAATAAAAACCCTAAGAAGAAAGTGTAAATTTTTTAGCAAACGTTCTAATTTTTCGTAGAACAAAGAATAAAGTGTAAAGTTTCTTGAAGAGCCTTGTGGTATCTTTCTAAAGAGCTTATGTATTCTAAATTTCGTTGATAATATAATTCTAAGTATCTTAATATGATCCGTTGGGAAAGTATCCGATATACGTACCTAAATCTAAGTAAATATTTGATTTTGAAATATCCAATTATTAAATTTGGATTAATTTTTTAATTTTTATCCCATCCGTATTTATTTTTTACTGTACTTTTATTTTTTCTGTAGTAGGGATAAATTGATGTTAAATGAATAATAAACCTAGTAACTAAAAGAATAAATAAAATTATAACAGAGGCATATGAGCAAACAATTTGGGAGAGAGAGAGAGAGGCACGAGTAAGACTCACCCTAAAACCCCAATTTCTTGGAAGGAATTCAAAAGGCATGGGATCGGATTGTTTAACACCAGAATGGGCTTCGCAGCCATGTCTCATGGGCATTGACGAAGCCGGAAGGGGTCCTGTTCTAGGTTCCTCTTCTTCTCCTTATGTTTCTTCTTCTTGGTGAATCTGAAGAAGAAGATGAATCTAATCAATTTTGTTCAAAAACAGGACCAATGGTTTATGGATGTATGTATTGCCCCATTTCATATCAGTCTTCTCTCGCTTCTCTCCATTTTGCAGGTAAAATCAAACCACTTACATTGTAATTCCTTTGTTTTGAAGAATGTGATATGTGTTTTAGTATTCTTTAGAAGCAACTTGTTGTGTTAGTGTTAGCATATGTTACTGTGACGTTCCGATTTAGGAGGGTATAAGTAAAGCATGAAGCTTTTTGCTGCTATGGCCTTTATGTTGAAGAATTTGATATGTGTTTTAGTGTTCTTTAGAAGCAAGGAGTTGTGTTAGTGTTTGTATATGTTACTGTGACGTTCCAATTTGGGAGGGTATAAGTAAAGTATGAAGCTTTTTGCTGCTATGGCCTTTATGTTGAAGAATTTGATATGTGTTTTAGTCTTCTTTAGAAGCAAGGAGTTGTGTTAGTGTTTGTATATGTTACTGTGACGTTCCAATTTAGGTGGGTATAAGTAAAGTATGAAGCTTTTTGCTGCTATGGCCTTTATGTTGAAGAATTTGATATGTTTTTTAGTGTTCTTTAGAAGCAACCAGTTGTGTTAGTGTTAGCATATGTTACTGTGACGTTCCAATTCTGGAGGGGTATATAATTCGGGAGGGGTATATGTAAAGCATGAGACTTTTGATCACATTTAGAAGATCCTTGCTCTTTTTTTTGTGTTCCTCTGAAGCTTTTTGCTGCTATGCTTTCTTTATGTTGAAGAATTGGGATGTATGGTTTTGAGGTTTGAGGTGCATTGAATAGATTATTCTTCTGCTAGTGGAACACATTTGTGTTTGTATATTGTTTAACCCTTCCAATTCTAATCATATGGTGCAGTGACAAGATGATTTGAGAGGGTATAAGTAAAAAGCATGACACTTCTGATCATATTTATAATCTTTTGACATTTTTTGTTCCCCTTAAGACTTTCGCCGTTATATTGCAAGTGTTAGCATGTACTATGACGTTTCAATTTGGGGGGTATGAGTAAAGCATAAAACTTTTCATCATATTCAGTCTCTTGCCTCTTTTGGTTACCCTCAAAGCTTTTTACCTATATGCTTGCAGATTCAAAGACTCTAAAAGAGGAGAAAAGAGAAGAATTATATGAAAACTTAAAGCTTGACAAGTCTCTTGGATGGGCTGTTGATGTCATTGATCCCAGGGAACTCTCAGCCAAGATGCTCGCAAAGTTAGTCGTAGTAAATTGTTTTTGAAGCTGAAATAGTGAAAGGCTCAATTGGTTCTTATGTCATATAGCTTTTGTTTGTTTTCTACAGAAATAAGACTAATTTAAATGAGATTTCACATAACTCTGCAATGGGGCTTATCAAAAGGGTACTGGACATGGGAGTTTTTCTAACAGAGGTGATGATTAGCTTTTATTGGAAAACAGATACATCATCATTTGAGTGATAAAGTTATTTGCCACATATATAGCATATTCTCAAGCTTTAGAGCTCTTAATTTCATTTGCAGGCTTATCTTGATACTGTGGGAGATCCCGAGAAGTACAGAATAAAACTGTCGGAGAGGTTTCCTTCAATCAAGTTTGTCGTTTCAAAGAAAGCTGACAGTCTATTTCCTGTTGTTAGTGGGGCAAGTATTGTGGCTAAGGTAACCTGTTATGAATTCTCACTATCTATCTCGAAGCTTTTCACTAGCTAAATATCACTAGGTGTATATTACTTGCTCAGGTTACTAGAGACAGAGCATTAAGAGAATGGTTGGTAGAGGAAACTGGAGAAAATATAAACAGAAAGTTTGGTTCTGGATATCCTGGAGGTACTAATTTTTCCTCACATTGTTTATGTATTAGGCAATAATTACAGTCTGATATGTTGTAATGCAATTCAGATCCTGAGACAAAGGCATGGTTAGTGCAACATAAACATTCTCTGTTTGGCTTCCCATCGCTGGTCCGCTTCAGTTGGGGAACTTGCACTGCACATTTAAAGGGCGAGGTTGAAGTTGCATGGTTAGTTTTCTTTTTCTGTTTGCTTCTATGTTCTATTAGCTATGATCAAGCATTTAGAGATGTGTTTAAAAATTTCAGATATCTCAATCTTGTAAGAATCTGAATGTATTGTGTTGTACTCTTGGGCAGGGAAGCGGATGAAAATGAAGAGAGTGGTAATGGAAGTAGCAGCAAACGACAAGCTAAACTAAGCAGTTTTGGGTTTAAAACATGCGAGAGTAGGAGCGAAGAAATCGAATCGAGTGGAAAAGGGCGCTGCAAATTTTTCCAAGCTCGCAAACTTCAACAACTCACTCAGTTTTAGTCTCAGTACAAGACTGAATCCAGCTTTTAGGTGATGTCTTAGCTTATTGTTCATCTCTAGTGCGTCTTAGTTTCATACACTTTGTGATTGTTGTCTCGTTACTTCTCTGTCTATTTTGTGAACCTATGTACTTGTGTGTAGGGGTGTTGTCAATGCCAATTTTTTTAGCTACTTTCAAGTCTGGCCTATTTGTATAATCCATATTAGCACATGGACTAGCCTTTTTTCAACCATATAACTATATCAAATGAAACAGCTCTTTGCAAGAACTCAAAACAGAGTTGGTTGTAAAACGAAGAAGACACTAAAAAGGTTTTTTCAAACCTAGATAGATTGCTGTCTAAAACCATTCAAACTCTTCTTCTTCTTCTCTTGTCAGTTGTCATATTGGAGATGTTTTCCTGTCTAGCATCATGTCCCAAGACCTCACGTAGCTTCCTGTGTTTAAATTCTTCATATGAATTGTTGAGCGTGACCAAGAACACGGTGTTACCTTTGTCTTGTAGAAACTCCATGGCAAGCTTAAAACTAGTTAATTAGCCAAAATTAACATATATTTTATATACAACTTTAATCCTACTATATTAATTGATAAGTAAATGAATTAAAATAACCTTGTAAATTGTAAGAATTTACATTGAAATGTTATTTGAAAAAGTTTAAAAATGAAATAACATTGAGGATAATAAAGATAGTTATAGACAAATAATCAAACAAATTAAATATATAAAATCGCAAGATAGTCTATTAACTATAAATAAAATCGAAAAATAATCAAACAAATATATTGTTTGTTTGAATATACAAACACAAATACATGCTATATAAATATTCAATCAAAGAATAAGAAAATAAATTATTATAAATTTATATCAAATAAAGAGTTCAGCCCACAGTTAGTCGTGGGTAGATACCTAGTGCTTAAATAAAAAAAAGCCAACATTAACTTGAACTTGTGTTGCACATTTGAATGGAAGCTTCGGAAATACTTTCTGAAAAAACATATCAAAATTATTTTTTTCATTACTCATTGTTACATGGCTATGTTGGTTATAAACTGAGCTGAAGCTTTTAAAAGGTTATACAATTAATATATTTTTGATATATGATGTTTTTAGTGTCTATAATCAGTATTTAATATTTTGATTTTGATTTTGAGTAGTTGATTTGATTGCAACAATGTCTAGTAATTCCTTTGTTGCGTCTTTGCTATTTGTGCCTTATATGCTGGAGTTGGGAGATTTCAGCCTTCCATTTAACTTGGGGACAAATGCATAAGGAAAAAGAAGACTAATGGCTTGCCTCTAAACTATGGGCTGACCTTGATGACTTAATTTTTATTAGAAATTCTCTAATCTTTAATTGGATTTTAGAGTTTTAGGAGATTTAGTAGTTTGATGAATTGACTGTATTAGAAGCTCTTTATCCTTAGGTTTTTTTATTCACATTTGTCCTAAAAACAAAAGTTATTCACATGTTTAATGCTAAGATTGGATTGATCACCCTGTTTTAGATTATAGGTTATTCTATGCATCAAAACTTTATAATAGATAGCATCAAAGAATGTGAAGTGTGCAATACGAGTTAAACCAATGAGAGTTGATGTTAAGAATTATTGTGAACTTAATGAGCTTTTGTTTGATAATGCGAATTTGACTAGAAAATTACAAATATTAATTAATTAATGGGATAGTAAAATTAGTAATTGATACCTTAAGAGATGATTAATATAATATAGCGTTCATGTTTGATAACAGTACTTAATTGTTAGGGGTCTTATTTGTTATTTTACTAACCATTGATCCCTGAATTATTATATGACCTAATTCCTTTAATTTCAAAAGTTAAATCGTATATTTCTTTGTTTCTTTATTTACAAGTCTGAAACAAAAATCATTTTTCGTTTTAGACAATTACAATATTCGAAAATCATCCATTAACCCTTGTGGATTGATTCCATATTATTTTGGATCATATGATACTTATACTCAATATAAGGTGTTCTAACATACAAACAAATGTCAAATGCCAAGAGAGTTGCACATGTTAGGAATTTATAAGTTAAAAAACTAACCACCAAAAAATAAAGACATAGAAGTCTAGTGGGAGACAGAACTTTGACTCAATTATTAATTGTATATACTGTAATATGATATATGATATTCAAAATGTGGTTAATAAAGATTTTATAAAATGTAAAAATAATACAGTAATTATATAGTAATATATTTAGATTTGATATTTTTTTAAAATAATTATCTAGATTGATATTTTGACATATTTTAGTTTTTTGCTATAGATATATTAGTTTATATTATTTAGTCTATTTGTATCATTTTAACATATATTTTAAAATCATTGTATCTGCATTGAGTAAATCTAATTAATCGATACTAATTTCAACCTATACAAAATAGATACAATATGATAAAGAGTCACTTTTTTATAATTTATATATTTCATCAAATAGCCGACAAATAATAATGGTAAAACTCATACCCAAACAATACCACATGACTACAGAACAATTACAAAAATAGAAGGTTAAAATTCTTTTATATACATAGACAGCCGCAAACCAGCTTGACTTGCTTGTACCCATGACCGGCTCAAATCAAATTGTTTGTATCCATAATCGGCTCAAATCAAACTAATGTTAAAGCGAATTGTTTGGCACGTAAAATATGTACGAAGTTGTTTTTAAATCTATATGGAAACGATGTTCTACGACATTGACTCGTTTGAATCGATCAATTATAGTTACCGAAGAAAACAAAAATCGGTACTAGTTTTCTTTGATCCCACTCGACTTTGGTATTCTAAGTCGTTTGTATTCAGAGTCTTACTAATTTAGTCATGGCCACTAAAAAAATGTCTAAGAAAAGAAGGAAAGGTGTCTTGTAAAAGTGACAAATCCAACGGCAGGGAATGAATGTCTCAAATCAAACGGTCAGACAGCTTTCATGCGACTCTCTGGTTTATTGTGAAACCACGTCACTTTATAAATGCTTCGGCCAATGCATGCCAAATAAAAATTTCTTAATTCTTTTTTTCGATAAAGCTTTACTACTTTATCTTTGTTTTATTGGTGTATTCGAGACATATTCCACTGAATCTATTCGTTACCTATTCACTTTATCTTATAGATAACTTAAATTTATATATATACTCTTTGATTTAGATTGTGAGTCGATAGAAGTTTATGCGACTATAAGATACCAAAATTCTGTAAAATACTATTCGATGTATGTACCAATGTCAATATAGACAATATTCGATGTTCTAGATTGTGAATATAAATCTTGTATATTATTTTGCGAAGATTCAAAAGAATAAGTTGAGAAGCAAATGCTTGCATGATGCAATGATAGAAACGTTTTGAAGATGCGGTTACCGCACTCATTGTCCTCGTAGGCATTACAACTTGGCTGGTGTAAATTGTTATAGCGGTCGGGATGGAGAAATCTGTCAGCGGTTTAGTACATTCTATTTTTAAAGTGGATAACAAATTGCGGCGTTTTGACTCTATTTGTACATTAAAACGATGTGTACTTAGGACGTTGTGGTTTTCTTTTGTTTTTTTATACCGCACTACTACAAACACAATTAATGAATGGTAAAAAAAGTGGTTCGGTATATAAATGGTTTAATCCGCTTGAACCGCAGTACCCATTCACACCATATATAACCACAATTATAGAGACACGATGTTACCAACAATTTGAAAATGCGCCACTCTCATTCTCCCACTAGGCATAATAACTCGGCTTAGACTATTTATTCACAATTGTTATGAACTTATAAAATTGTTCAGAAGTGATTTATGAAAACATCGAAAACTTTCTATAATTCTTAGATTTTTTTTTCTTTTTTTCTTCAAACACTATCACACTATCCCCCTTTGACAATATACTTCGGCCGGGAGATATTAATTAATGTTAAGTTTTAAAGTTTGTATAGATAATTAGATTTAAATCAATATTGGATTTTCTGAAAGTTGTAGTATATATATGGCTGAATATAAGTATTTTTGGATAATATTTGGATTTATTCTTAGGAACGAGCTTCCTTATTCACTCACATTAGCTTAACCAATACAAGTAGAGTAATATGCTACACCATATTATATTTAAAAATAAAATAAAATTTAAATTTAAAAAAACTGAAAATAGTTTATATACATATAAACACTCTTTTTTGGCCGAAATTAAAAATTATATTCGATTTCTCAATATGTTGGCTTAGAGACTTCTTTTTCATTTAGAGAGTCTTAACTCTAGTGAAGATTGAAGAAAGCTTTGAAAAACCAAAAATATAGTATAACGTGTTATATTTTTTTATTGATTAAATTAGTAAATAGTGAATAAAAAAATTATTGAACAAATTTTTCAGTAAGTAGAATTTTTTTCGTCTTTAAAAGCTAAGTGTTTCGGTGTTTTCTTTTTTTTAATCAACAAATACTATTTGTTTAATTTGCAAAATTTTTTAGGGCTTGTTTGGTGTTGGTCTTCCGCCAACAAAGGAAAGAGTAGACATTAAACAAACAAATATTAATCAAATTAAAAAATTGGTAAATTAAATTCCAATTAATAAAATATTAAATAGCAATATTGTTGGCCAAAAAAAGAAAGAAAAAAGGCAAACTCATTATTCCTAATCTTTATATATACACACCTCCATGATCACCAAAACAACCCATCCATACATTATTCACTTCTCAAAATCTCAAGTACTCATTGGAGTCTAGTGAGTTGCCATTTTTAGGTCTTCTCTATAAATTTTTCAAATGTTTCTCTGTTCAATTCAATGCCTCGCCAGACATCTGTTCCCTTTGCATGTAAGAGAGATAAAGAAAGCGACAAAAAGCCATAAAGAAAGGGTAAGAAGAGAAGAGACTCTCTCTTTGAGAGATAAGGTTTTCTCTTATCTTCTTCTCATCAGATCTTCTTTACTCTCTTCTCTTTTGCTTTTTTTTTTTGGTTATGTTTTCTTTTCTTGATTTAGACAAAAACAAAACCCTAGATTTGATCTTCCGATCCAAAGTGTTGTCTTAACTAGAATCTTTTTACTCTATATGACTATATCTCTTGGGTCTTTGGCTTGTCTTGGTGATTGAAACTCAGATCTAATACCAAAAGTGTTCTTTGTTTCTTCTTGTAGATCTCTGAAGTTGTGTGAGATGATTGAGTTTTGTGACAAGAGAGAGAGGAACACAAAAGAAACTGACAGAAGAGAGTGAGCACACAAAGGCAATTTGCAATATCATTTGCATTTGCTTCTCTTGCGTGCTCACTGCTCTATCTGTCAGATTCTAGTGCTGATCTCTTTTAGCCCTGTCCTTGTTCTCTTTGTCTCAATCTCTCTCTATCTCTCTTTCTCCCTCTTGTTCATCTCCAAACTAAGGTAAGAAAGACACGATCTAAAACAATGTCTTGTTCTTGTGTATTGATTTTAGTTCGATCTGCTTGCATGCGGGAGAGGTACTGGACCTTTAGTCTTTTTAATCATTTCATTATATTTTAAGAAATGGGTAAGTATCGAAAAAGCTTGATCTATGAGTTAACGCGTGGTTAAGTTTAGATTAGCATGGTTAACCTAGTTTTCTTTAATAGACTGGTCCTTAAATTTTTCTCGATTCATGTTTATATATAATTATATCGTTTCTTTTTTTTCATCTCTCTGTCTCTCTCGAGGCGTTTTAATCCCTAGTTCCTTATTGTATAATATACATATGTGTACATAGTCAGATAAAATCTATATATTATATGTCATTTGATTCATGTGATCATCATATCATCTAATTTTGCGTGTTGCAAGAGTACTTGGTCATGATATTTGCATTATAAAGAATGAGTCTTCGTTGCTTTTCTTGTTAATTATTTAAATGGTTTAAGCTCGTACATTTTTATTCCATGAGCTAAGTACATAATTAGCTTATTATATAATCCCAAAAATTAGTTAGCAATTTATAGCATACAATTAGTTACATTTGTTGTAAATGATTATTCTTTTAAAGGGTTTGTTTTGTTTTGTTTTGTTAGATTAATTTGAGAAAGTTTTTATATTTTTGTTACATTTGTTGTACATGAATATTATTTTTAAAGGGTTTGATTTGTTTTGTTAGAGTAATTTTGAGGACATGTTACTTTGCAACTGCTTGTCAAAGCTAGCACACATTTGGTATGAAACTAATACAAACCTATAATGTATGAGTTGAGTTATGTTGTGTTGTGTTGGTGCCACATGTTGATGTGTCATGTCTTTCCGCTTTTTTCTACTGTTAATGGTGTTGAATTTTTATGGTGTTTGTCGAGAAAATATCAACACTACAATTAATTTTGTTTTCCTACTGTTACACCTTTCAATTTTTTTTGCTTGTGTTAAATGAGTCGTTGGACCAAAATCACGATGATTATGTGGTCAAAAATGTGTTTGTAATATGTTACAGGAATAAAGATTTTGTGTATATATCTGTTTGCAGTTGTGATGATGATTGCATTTTTAGTTCTCTACTACAATATCTCTATAGCTTTAATTAACTGAAGTCAATATTAATATTTCTGAACAAAGCTTTTGTTCGATATGTATCTCAGCAACAAAACGTTTCAATATGTTTGTGATCTTACTAACTTGCGTGAAGAAAAATGTTGACATGATACGTAGGTCCAAATCATTACACACATTACAGTGTTTTCATGGCCTTGTTACATATGTTCGTTTAAATGATTACTTGTATATATATGTATATATCTTAGCCGTATATAAACTCCATGCGTATATGTAATTAGTTACATCATTGGAAACGAATGATAGGTTCTTGTTAACATTAACATAACCTCATGTGTGACCGGTGGAGTAAGAACATATTTTTTCTTCTTCTTTTTTTTTTTTTTGGGTATAATCTTGTTACCACAAGTTACCTAGTATTTGGCAATGAAATTACAAAGGCTTTGAATGGTTGGTTAATATACATTTGTATACTAGACAAATTGGTGTAAGACAATGCATACTAATATTTTGGTATGCTAAACGCTGGAGTATGCTTCCTTTTTTACGCAGACTGAAAAAATGCGGATAGATAGCGATACTTTGGTATGTAAGTATTGTTCACTGCGTAATGCGTACTAACATGTATTTGATCGGTTTGAAGTTGGTTCGGACGGTATCAGACGATGGGAAAAGGGTATATTTCGACCCGTACTATTTCAAAAGTGTAAAATCCTATCCAAACAAACGAATCGTGTGTTTTTCAACATAAACCCTCAAATAATTTAAATTAACTACTTATTCTTTGAATCGTTAGCATTATTCTACATTGACTCAAACAGTGTTAGTCAACCGTTAAGTAAAGCCTAATCACTTTCCACATAAGATCCGATGTGGTATTTCATTCGGTTTCGAAGGCTCAACACGACGTCGTTTCAAATTGGGGGGAAAATCTCAAATTAGTTCCTCGGTTTCTGAGACCTAATTTGAAATTTTCCCTCAATTTGAGTAAATGGTGAAAAAATAGCGGGCTGATTTGACTTTAGTCCAGAACGTACCAACCAACCATTCGAGACAAAAGAATCCATCGACTCAAGATGCAAAAAGGAAGATTTGGTAGCTTGATGAGCTTGATTCATGATGTATCATTCATCACACTATTACTATTAGAGATTATTGCATTTTGATATAATACATTCGTCCAAAGTAGGTATAGAACATATTATCCGGGATCAAGAATCTGCTCCGATCCGATATAAAAACATTATATTGATAGTGGCCGAAGACAGAACTAGTCCAAAGTAGGAAAATAGTCGAAAGCATTTCGAAATATCAAGAAATGAAGAAAAATTTATATATCTTCTAAGAAAAGTCAAAAACATTATTAAGAAAAAAAGGGTCAAGTAGAAAAGGTCACATATTTGCCTTACCAAAAAAAGACAGTTCATTGAAATTTTATAGGGACAAGTTACTATTTTAGAATTAATGCGTATCCACTTCAAAACATGCGTACCATTAACGGTGTCATTCCACGTCGATTCAACGTTGTCCACAAAATAATAATGGGATCTAACTCTGTTTATTTATTCTAGTTTTTTTTTTAATATTTTTTGTTACTATCATAATTCATAATGCTAAAATCTTACTAATTTTTATTTTATAATAGAGTTTTGCGCAGACAAATCTTTTTAAATCGTCATTTTTTTGTAACTTTGTCTTCCAACTCTAAAAAAAGCAGGTCAATCATACGAAATAAAAAACTATATGTAATATAATATGATGCTATTACTGTCAAATTTGTAAAATGTTGATAAATATGATATCAAATCAAAACTCCAAAGGAGTCTAAATCCACAATTAAAATTTTAAAAACATAATATATGTGACCGTAAAAATGTTTAGAAGATATATATAAAAATTATATTGGGTATTATTTTTTTTTTCAAAAAATTAATCTGCATTTTTTGAAATAGGAGATGATATGATATGCACATCTCCAATTATATTGAAGAATAAGATAGCCAAATATTAAACCTTACAATTTCCAAAAAAAACATAATTAATCCGAACTCTTTCGTGGCTACAAATAGTTTAGATCTCACAAAATCAATTCTTCTCCGGTCGCTTAGACAATAGTTATTCTATTAGTTTTTACTCAGATCTCTCAAAAATGTTTACAAGATGTGTAAGCCGACGAAAACTATGTCATAACGCTCTTTGCTTTTTCCATCGCATAGCCTCAATTTTTTTAACAAAATCTTAGTTTTGTTAAAATATTGACTTACAACAATTTTATATTCTTTTCTAATAATTTTTATGCTTGATAATTATTTAAAATTTTAAAATATTTATGTAAGTGAATTTCTTAAAATATTTTGATATTCATGTAGTATTCATCATGTTTTATTTTTATTATAATCTTCAAATAATTTTATAAAACAATATCCTCCGTATAGTCTCCACATAAACGATCATGTATATATTCTATAAGTGCTTTACTGTACGTCTACTGTACAACATATTTTACAACAGTAATTTTAACTAAATAAAAAGGACTTTTTAAACATTTTTAGAAAATAGAGTTGTCATATTAACCTTTTTTAGAGTGTTATAAACAGATTTTACGAGCTTGAATTTTCATTTAGTATGAAAAGAGGCATTTAATTTAAAATTTTGGTATATCATTTACTAAACTCTTCTTTTGTTGATTTCTTTCTCTTACTTATCTTTGCATGTTTCGTTCACTCTCTTGTATTTCTTTTCAAAGCATATGTTAATATATATTTTTATCATATTCTTGAACCTTTTTCATATATTATAAGCACTAGCCAGTTAAACTCAAGTGTCGAATTTAATTTCATCTCAACTCTTTTTGATTTGGTCATATTTTATTTGTGTTGCCAGATCTTATGCACATTGTCACTTCGTTTAGATAAGGACAAAACATTTCTTCACAGTTCACTTAGTCATCGCATATCAAACAAAGTAGATAACATTATAAATATAACCAATCACAATTCTTTCACATACTTATTCTCCTCACATATACTTGTAAACTAGTAAAGACAAAAAGTTCAAAAAGACAATGGAAGAATCAAACCGTACTGTCTTGTTCGACAAATACGTGATCGGAAGACTTCTCGGCACCGGTAACTTCGCCAAAGTCTATCACGGAACCGAGACCTCCACCGGCGATGACGTGGCAATCAAAATCATCAAAAAAGATCATGCATTCAAACGTCGTGGCATGATGGAGCAAATCGAACGTGAGATCTCCGTCATGCGTCTCCTCCGTCATCCAAACGTCGTCGAGCTCCGCGAAGTGATGGCTACAAAGAAAAAGATCTTCTTCGTCATGGAGTACGTCAACGGAGGTGAGCTTTTCGAGATGATCGATAGAGACGGGAAGCTCCCGGAGGATCTAGCAAGAAAATATTTCCAACAACTTATATCCGCGGTGGATTTTTGCCACAGCCGCGGTGTTTTCCACCGCGATATCAAACCCGAGAACCTCTTGCTTGACGGAGAAGGTGATCTCAAGGTTTCGGATTTCGGACTTTCGGCTTTGATGATGCCCGAAGGGCTAGGTGGACGGCGTGGCAGCAGCGACGATCTTTTGCATACGCGGTGCGGGACGCCGGCTTACGTGGCGCCGGAGGTTTTACGGAATAAAGGATACGACGGAGCTACGGCGGATATTTGGTCGTGCGGGATTGTTTTGTATGCACTCCTTGCTGGCTTCTTGCCGTTTATTGACGAAAACGTCATGACATTGTACACGTAAGTATTTGTCTTGACCGGGTTTTGGTTTAACCAATTCAAACCGTCTATTTTTTTTTATTCATTTTCTTTTTGGTTTTAAAATTTTTATTCATTTAAAAAGGGAAAATTATAACTAAAAACCAAAGCTGTCCATTGTGAGTTGGATTTCTCGATTCTTCTCAATATAAAATAATAGTTATTATTTTGGTTAGATAAAATTATTTGAATGCGACAAGTTAACTTAATTTCAATAGATACAAAGAGATTTGGTATGAGATATACTATTTACAAGTTTGCACACAAATACAGTATTCGAATCACTTGGTTGAGTAATCGAAACTTTTTCGAAGTTCTTTAAATTATCACAATTAGTAACAATTTGGTCTGAGAAATATACTATTTAAAAGTTTACAAAAAAAAAAGGAGATAGTATTTGAAAAATGATTTCAATTAGGGAAAATAATTTACATATATTAACCATGGTTTATATATAAGATCGCGGAAAATGTTTTTATACACAATATTGTATATAGATATACAAATATTTTCCTATTATATATTTATCCTTATGTATGATAAGTTTTTTTTGGTGAAATAATGTTACATTATATTCAAAAAAGAGAAACATTTTTACAACAAGTGCCACTATCGATTTAAAACATTGAAACTAAAAAGAAAAACTAAAGATTTAAATATCTAGTTTCTTGAAGCAAACCAACTCTGTAAACCGGTATCATAGCGCCTATCACCTAAACGCTTGATGGATGAAAACCGATTACACATACTCTGAAAACCGGTATGATGAGTTTTTTTTTACTAAATAAGTAATATTTCAAGTACTGTAACTATTTACAAAACAAAAGCTACTCTTTAAAATATATGTCAAAAATAATTATATAGATTAATTAAATAAAATATGATATGCTAATTTTTTAACGTTTTTGCACAATCTATAATAAACAGGAAGATCTTCAAAGCCGAATGCGAGTTCCCACCTTGGTTCTCGTCACAATCAAAAGAACTAATCTCAAGATTGCTTGTTCCTGATCCCGAACAACGCATTACAATGTCAGAGATCAAAATGATTCCATGGTTCCGCAAGAACTTTACACCACCAGTAGCCTTTTCAATCGACGAAACAATCCCATCTCCACCAGAGCCACCATCAAAGAAAAACAAGAAAGACAAGTACAAAGATAATAAAGAAGACGACTACATAGTCTCTCCAAGATCTTTCAACGCTTTCCAATTCATTACATCAATGTCTTCAGGGTTCGACCTCTCCAACTTATTCGAGATAAAACGAAAGCCAAAGCGGATGTTCACATCGAAGTTCCCCGCGATATCTGTGAAGGAGAGGCTGGAGAAGGCGGCTCGTGAGATGAACATGAGAGTGAAACATGTTAAAGACTGTAAGATGAAGTTACAAAGGAGAACTGAAGGACGCAAAGGGAGGCTCTCCGTGACGGCTGAAGTTTTCGAAGTTGCTCCTGAAGTCTCTGTTGTCGAATTTTGCAAATCCTCAGGGGACACTTTGGAGTATTACCTCTTCTGTGAGGATGATGTCAGGCCAGCTCTTAAAGATATTGTATGGTCTTGGCAAGGTGATGATGAAGAAGAAGAAGACGATGCTAATGCTACCACTAATGATAATGTTAACTGAATTATTAATTCTTCTACATGAGCTGTCGTAATATTTTGATTTTTTTTTTGGCTTTTGATGTGCGTGATCGAGATAGTCTTATTGTGAAATTGCGTATATACATAAGAACTTTTATAATTAACAAAAATGTCATTTAATTATCGAACTTTCAAATTTATACCATTTAAATCATGAACTTTTTGTGGCCATTTAAAACATAAACTTAAAAAAATGGATTAACGATGGCTAGTGCTCTATTAACGGAGTTGAGAATATGATGTTCATTTTGGCTTAGTCAACAAAAAATGAAGTTTTAAAAAGTATGTCAACAAAAATGTCATGTTTTGAATGGCCACATTGAAAGTTGATAATTTAAATAGCCTAAATTTGAAAGTTTAAGAATTAAATGACATTTTTCCCAATTAACAATATAATAATTTTCTAATATATATATATAATAATTTTTATATTTTTGGTTCTTTATTTTATATATAGTTTATTCAATAATATATTATTTAGTAGCATATGGAGAACCATAAATCACCCATAACATAAAGGATCGAGATAATTGATTAAGATTATGAAAATCATAAAAATCGAGAGCAATTTAAAAGTTATAGTTTAGGAATTTTTTTTTTTATAATATATCAATATATTAAAAGTTACATAGACGATTTTATCATAAACAATTCCTTTCAACCATATTAAATTCACAAGTGACAACAATTCATTTTCTATGCTGATGATTGACACCTTCGATAATTCACTCATTTTCCATCTTCATAGTT